TTCCAATTATGTCTAATTTTGCTCTCACTCGTCTAGCCACAAAATCCTCCATTAAAGGTACCATTTAAGCACCTTTTAGCACTTCTAACTTTATCTTCCCCTTTACCATCAAGCTTTTTGACCCATCATGTCTTATTATCCATTGGAATGACCATTTATGGTTTGGAGATCATGTTCCTAAACATAGTTTTATTCTCTGGTTCACCACAAATTACAAATTTTGGACGAATCCTCACAACCCTAACAATTGCCCTTTTTGCTTAAACAACTTAGAATTCAAATCACATTTTTTAATGCCCTTTTTCCCTCAGAATTTGGAACAAGATCTTATTTAGGTGTGGCATGGATTTCACATCCATCCCCCGACACTAAATTTGGAATATCTTAGTAAGTTTGTTTTGGATCATTAGACTTCCGATAGGAAGAACTACAATGTCTATATAAAAAAGCTAACATTAATTGGACACCTACATCTATTTCATATGAACGAAATAGTAGAGTCTTCAGAAACACAAATTTCCTTTTTCCAGTCGTCCCCAAAGCCATCCAAAACATAATTAGATATAGGTTACTCTCCATTCACTTCAATTCCCTTTTGACCCATAGTGTTAATGGGAAAGGTTTTTTCATAGTTGTTCTATTTTGCATGCCTCAATTGAACTTGTGGATGATGAGCTATACTCTATGTTGAGAACTATTTCTTTCCTCTAATTTTTGTCCAAGATACCCTTTTGGTATGTGGTTCCCTTCTTTGGGGCTGAGTTTTGTTCTTTGTATTATTTCTTTATATGTTATAGCTTGGCTCTTTGCCCTTTTGGTTGGCCATTAAGCTGAGCTAGTGGGTTGTTAGGGTTTCTCGGGCTCTTTTTTGTAAATCCTCTCCATTTATATATATATACACACATACTTAATTATCGAAAAAAAACTACTTTAGTGGGAAAAAAAATCAAAATTAATCTTCCCTATAAATTAAGATTGAGTTATTTTTGTTGAAATTACAACAAATAAAATAAAAAGATAGAGAGAGAGGAGTGGACAATATTTTCATCACAAGAAAAGTGGAAGAATTCAAAGAGGAAAGAAAAAGGCAACATTCACATATGTTTTATATTTGCCGAAAGGGTATATGTATAAATATTTATATGTACTAGAGAGGGGGATATAAATCTAAGCAAGGAAGGCAATGTATATGAGTATATGAAGAAGCAAATTTTAAGGAAAAAAGAAAAGAAGAGAGAGAGAGAGAGAGAGAGAGAGAGATCTATGAAGGGGGAAAAAAAAAAAAAGAAAAAAAAGAAAAGAAAAAGAACTGGAAATTTATTTGAAGAGAAAAGAAAATTGAAGAAGAAGAAGTAGAGTAAGAAGAAAAAGAATTTAAAATTGGAGATATTTTTAAAAGAAAGAAAAAATTGGAGATATAAAATGATAAATTTAGCTTCCCCAAGGGCATGGAGACGTTCGCCCCCTAAATTTTTTTATTTATATTTTGTACTTACAATTTCGTTAAAATTTTTGTTAGTTGTCCGCCCTAGAAATGATTGTATATTTTATACCTATAATTTTGTTAAAATTTTAGTAAGCCATCCCCACTAAAATATTTGGTAAAACCCGTGTGTGTACCTGCCCCACTATTAAAATAAGTAATAAATAATTAAATGAAAAATGCAACTTATTACCAATTTGGTAGTTCTTATATATTTTGGTGTTATGGGCTGTAAGCCCACAACAGTGGCCTTGGTTAATCTCCCCGTCAAGGCTACTCTTTGTTTCTTCTTCTATTTTTTTTTATTTTTTTATTTTTAAAATAAAGTAATTTATCTTATAATATCTTTGATGACTACGGGCACATTTTTCAGACACCATTTTTTGCATCTTACAATAAGATCATTGATTTTTTTTTTTTTTTTCCCCCTTAACTTCATAGGTGATAAGATCATCACGTGCTACTGTAATGGGTTCTACTGAAGTTCGTACGACCTCACTAAGTCTTAAACAACCTTTAGTTTATATTCTACCAGAAATTCATAGCATGACTATATGTCAGTCACTCGTTAGGTGTAATTTCCTGATTTCATCTTCTGTTGCAAAGATATAAAAGATACATTTATATATATATATATATATGTATGTATGTATGTATATATCCAATTTTGATAATTTTATTATGCCTCAAACAGTAAGAACTACAAACGTAAAACCCGCATCAAAGCATACCCGCACACATAAATCACAGGAGCAAACACATACACAAAGTACTGCAGCACATGCAAAACCCATATATGAAATAAATAATTTACCCAATAAATAAATAAATAAATAAATAATGCATGTTTTGTATATGTTTAAATAAAGGAGTAAGTCATTATACAAATGCAAAGCATTGTTAGGCTAGGTTTTTCTTCTTCTTCTTCTTCTTTTAATATATATATATATATATATATATATATATATATATATATATATATATATTATGCGCGCATAACCATTTTAAGGACAATTTCAAGGACTACCCTTGATGTTACAAACAAACAAATGATCAATAAATAAAAATACTGACCTCCTATATATATATATATATATATATATATATATATATCAATTTCAAGAAAAAATATGTCTTCTATTATGTCGAAGGATTACTGGGAATTGAGCAAATTGGTGATAAAAGAACTGGGCTAAAAATACACTTGATGAAAAAATAATAATAAATAAAGGTAATGAAATCATTGTATGAATTTTAAAGGCAAAACCATGCAATGGTTGAAGGAAATTTTTTACCTTCACTAAGAAACCAAAAATTTTTTCCCAAATTTTTTTTTTAAAAATTGCAAATTGATTAGCAGATCTTAGAAGGAGATGCTAATTAATTGCAATATTTTGACTGTTTTTGACAGAACATTGAAGGCCCTATTGAGATGCAGTCCTTATTGGAAGACAGCAGAGGTTTGGCATATAATTAAGTTTCAGATTTTTAATTTCTCTTAATGAAAACATGCAAGGTCACCACCCGTGATCAGTTAGAAGCAATGAACGTACTCCTTGGCAGAGAGGGGCCTTATATATATCTTCTAAAGATTACTAGATCTTAGAAGAGCTAGCTCGATCCACTCGAAAAAACTGAGTTCTAATGTCACAGGCTAAAACTAAAGTAAGAATTTTCTGCGTTAATGACTGGCGAGATCGACTAGTGAAAGAGACAGTGACAATCACAAATATTGTGATTGAATTTTTTCATGGAATTTGGGTCCTGTAATCTACTTGTTTATGATTTTCTAAACAACCACATAAAAGAGGAAAGAAGACGAAAATGGGGCTCTCTCTGTGACTCTGGATTTCGTACATGCTTATACAAGCTAACACCAAAAGAGGAAAGAGTGCTCGAGAGTTGTCAACCAAAAGGTCTCTAGTTTCTTAATTTCCCACTTTATATATGTATATAGTTGGAAAAGTACTCACAGTTATAGGGCAACCTATTCTATGAAATAGTACAATACAAACCATGATATATATATATATATATATATACAACAACCAATGCTAATGTTGGCATATCTAAAACCCTAGAAGTGTACCCTAAAGGAGGAGGAGGCCCATATTAATGTTTCACTATCCTACAGAGACGAGAGACTCTGCGGCTGCACAGGCATAATAGAAGAATCAATGAAAGAAAAAGGGCTTTGGAATCTATAATTCTTCTGAGATGAAAAAGAAAGAAGATGAGGAGTACTGGACATTGACTGGAACTTGTTGCAGCCTTGTCAACACGTCACAAGATCCAAGAAAAATTAAAGGCCCACAGCAGCAAGTTGGGCTAAGGTATCCTTTTTAAAGTTGACATCGGAAAAAAGGCATAGTGTGGTCCTAGTAAAAAAATATACAAAAAAAGATGGGCATGAAATAAAGAAAAAAAAACTGCTTTCACACTGGCTACATAAACATGTTATACTAAGATTATTTATATAAATTTAAAAGCTTATTTGAAAATAATAATGACCGACTTTGGAGGTCATGGTCCCTTTCTGTGTGCAATACATGTGAATAAAGATGCATGGACCATATATGCTCTTTCGTATTAATTATTTAGTGTCCAGACTCTCCACCCAATAGGAGTGAGTCTCGTGCTTGTCACTGACAGATTAAGTTAAGTTATAATTATTACTTTTGAATAATTTTTATACAAGTGAAACAGGGTAGGTAGGTATTCAAAAAAATAACCCAGTATTTTTCATTTTATGACCCCATTTTTTATAAATATAAAATGGTTAGGGTATAATGTATATGATGATATAAATACAAAAAGTTATACCATCATTATTTGTTGTAGGTGGGAAAGGAGAAGAGATGGCCCACAAATGTAGGTACACCAGTTGGATTCGGTTGATCCATAAATAAGAGGCTTGGGAATTGGGAGAGGGCCATAGGATAATGATTTGAAGCCCAAATAGTAAAGGCCGGGCTGGGTTAAGGTACGGTACAAGTATATTAAACCATAGCCAATTCCTCAATTGTGAACCAAATCCAACCCAAATCCTTGTATAGCTAACTGAATGATACCTAATTTCTTTTCTAATAAAAATGGATAAATTTAAAAATATAATAGATTAAGGCTCGGTTTATTTAGATGTAAAATATTTTTTAGCAAATTTTTTATTTTTTTATTTTTTTTCTGGTATTTGGTTATTGTAAAATATTTACGAAGAAAAAATATATTAAAATTTAACAAAAATAATTTATCCATCAATTTTCGGCAAATTATTTTACATGCCCTGTCCGATGGACTTGACCTCAACCTCGATGTAGATATTTGTCAAACACTGGCAAAGTAAAAATAAAAAAAATATTTTATCTAAAAAAAATATATTTTACATCGAAACACACGGAACCTAATTGTCTAATTTCTTTTTAATTTTACATGTCTCAACCAAATTTCTCAACAAAAAAAGGCCTGATTTTGTCGAATTTGAAATTAGCACAATTCAATCACTCACTCCAAACAGCTCTAGTTTCAACTTTTTAGTCATGTAAAATCATGAAATTTTCAAATCAAATGAAGATATTTATACATCACATGAAAATTCAAAAACTGATTGATAGAATCATATTCTAGACATAATGTCATTGAGGGACACAAGAATATCATCATAGTATACCCTGACACGTGTCGCGTCCTTGTCCCTTGCTGCGTAATCCAATCTGGTAACACTGTTGAAGAGGGTTGAGTAGAGCTTCCTCAATGGAGGCCTCTGACTTGGTGGCTTGGATTGAATAATGGTGTAGATGTCCTGTTTAAGCTTGGAAGAGCTTTTCCTCAATTCCTTCTGTGCTTCTTTCCATGACTCTGACTCTAGCAAGTCCTTTACTTGAAGCAGACTCAGTGCATGACCTCTGATTCCACTCTCTGCCTCTTCCACTGACTGGTCTGGAACTGTCATTCTCAGCTCAAATGCATTGAGACTGCCATTTCTTGATAAGAGGACTACAGAAGCTATTGTCGCTATAAGTCCTGCTCTTCTGGTTCTATTGCATTGGAGGGACATTTGGGTTGTTTTTCTATATTGGAGGGAAAGTTTTGGATGGCAGGTGAAGATTGGGAAATGGTTAGGTGTGTTGGGTTTTGAGACAATTGATAGTAGTGATTCCATAATATATATATATATATATATAGATACACACACACACACACACACACACCTACCTCTTGTGGCCTCTCTGTAGAGGTTTTCCCACAGAAACTGTGTTGCTAGTTGGCGGCTTATCCAGATGGAGGAGGGGCCAGAAAGGTGGGAATGTGTGTGCGTGTGATATATAAAGTTGAATTTATATGTGGGTCCTATTCATGTGGACCCCTACAGAAGTGAAACCACAAAGGTTTTTTTTTTTTTTTTTTTTAGCATACATTGGAAGATACGATTAAAAAGTTAAATGAAAGATGTGGTTTTGATATTGGATTGGAGGACCATTTTGGGGGCTATATTGGATTTTAGGGAATTCCCCCATTAAAAAAATTTCATTGGCTGGTGTAAGTTTGACAATTTTCTAATTTCTCTAGTCTGAATTCTTCACTGGGCGGGAGCCAAATCGAAGCAGTCTTAAGAAATTAGCTCTAACTCTGTTTATTTGTAGCCCTGTGCACGAGTGCCTAAATCTGTGGTTAGAGTGCATTCTGTGTTAAATAAAGTTGTTCCAGACAGATTAAACCTACCTCGAATTTGCAGTCAGCGTAGACGGAATCATGGCTTGTTTCTCTCTCCTTTTCAGATGGACATGCTAACAATTTTCCTGGCTTCAACATATTTACATCATTAGTGGTTCAAAAAAGCAGGGACTTTGTACACATCTTTTGTGCCATTTTGCACCATAACATAATTTGAGCATATGGTAGTTGGACACCTGCCTTTTTCACAAGAAAATTTAAATTGCTGGGTTGGTTCTGATCTTAACAAGCCCATTTCCATACTAATGAGCATATGGTTACATGAAACATGAAGAGAAACATATGAATCATCAAGAGCAGATTACTGAAAAGTAATAACACAAGCCAAAGACCTTTCATTCAATATCCAAGAACATTTTTGTTGCATACACTTGAGAAGGGATCTTTACAAACCAGACAGGAGTTACCGTTGTAATCCATTAAATTATTATACTTTTACATGAAAAAAATATATATAAATCACAAGAGGAGGAGTGGCAAAATGAAGTAAGAAGCAGCAGGATAAGGAGAAATAAACTACTTCCGAAACAGCTGCCTGCAGCGCCTACCCAGTTTTGCTTGCAATACAGCTGCCTCACCAATCACAATCTCGCCAACTAAATCTTTAAAGATCTTCCGCTCAATATCCAAAACCACCACGGAAATCTCACCACAGAAATCTGTCCAACTCTCTGATTCATGCATCACATCCTTCGACAAAATTCTTTTCAAACCATCTTCCTCATCATCTTCGCTGCATTCTGATTTGTTCGTTTGAAGCTTTTCTATCTCCGAGCACAATTCTTTCAAAAGCTTTTGAGCATTCAAGGTCTTCCTCGCCAGTTTATTGGGCCTCAACCACGGCTCAGGAGAAGTCCCAACTAAAGCTAACTTTCCAACAAGAATCTCATTAACATAATCAAAAATTAGTTTCCGGTGAAACTTTTCTTGATCAGGTTTCAAATTGACCACTTTTTCAGCGCTGCATTCTTCCTTTAATGAAGTGCTGCCCCTTGTTTGTTCCAGGACCAAGAACAACTCAGGATTGATTGGATGGTCGGACGAATGGAGCTGGAAGGTTGTCAGGCTTGAGCCAAGGTCTCTGAGGAGAAGACCAGATGCTAACAATATCTCAGAAATGTACCTGTGGTCTGGATTTGTGTCCTCACAAAGAGATGCAATGTAATCTGTGCGGGCTTCATCATGGCTTGAGTTCAGGCTTCTAAGCTTCTGAACCAAATTATCAATGTTCTGCAGTTTCTTGCGATCAATCTTGGATGAAAGACCAGATCCTGAGCTGTTAGTTAAGATATTATCTGCTGGAACCCATGGCTCTTTACTTGAATCATTATTAGAATTATGAGTTCCGTCATCTGTAAGATGAACAATCGAGTAAGATATGGTAAACTATAAGAGATATAAGTGTTTCCTGATAAAGAAAATAATGAAAATGAGAAAACCTGACTGTTCAATCCTGTAATCACCACTTGATACTACATATTACTGGCACAAAATACCTTACCTAAGCTACATAACGCTCTAATTTGGTTATACAATATCATAAAAACCATATAATGATCCTCTAATATCAAAATGCATAGACTAACATAACAGCATTTTATCATGAAGCCTTTTAGAGAATTCCATATCAGTTTTATGCCCAATAGATATTATCCTTCGTTAATGTGCCTGCATCTGTAACAAATATGTAATTTTACACTTTATATCAACATATTCACGCTTTTATCAATTCAAGGGCTGTTCACAAGACAGAGACATACCATCTGAGCATAAACTTGCTCAGGAAAAACAAGGAAAACTGAGCAGAGTTGCCATATTATCTATCAAAATACAGTAACATATTTAGAATTCCTGCCTACCTGCCTTTCATTGTCCTCGGAAAGGCCAAATGTCTATTACATTTGAACTGAACATTTGATTTTCAAATAAAGTTATTATGGTGAAGTAGATTTGGCCCCTCCAGCATGTCAAAGGCATAAAGAGTCCCACCACTATTCTAAACTACTCACAGAACACCTCATATGGCAAGTAGTCATGCATTATCCATAACTCAAGTCTTAATTGGTCCAGATTTTGCCACATTAAAGAAAACAAATTTCAGGAGTTTAATGCATTACCTTGAAGGTTATTTGGTATCCGTTTCACAGGAGACAGGGCATCATCTCTATATACCAAATCATCGAGAACAGAAACAGGACTGTGATGCTCCAGGACAACTGTGGCAATTTCTGTCAATGGCCCGTCTTCACTCAACCTTGGAGATGATTTCTGAACAAGAATGTCAAACCGATTATACATTTGATTAGAACAGGCACATAAATAGATAATATCAAAAAGCACATACCTTCTGACTTAAGCTATGAACAGAGTACTTAGCAGGCTTCACAAATGTACTCTGGCTGCCATTGATCTCGGCAGATCGATCAGAACTGGAGACTTCAATATCTATCTTCGAGTCCAAGGTATTGCTGTCTGAATGCGAAGAAAGATCATCCTCTTGGTAACCCATAATCCTAGTTTCACTGCTGATCTCACTGTCATCACTTTGCTGCAACTTGGAGGATTTTGGTCTGCGCTTCCCACTGGGGGAACCTGAATCTGGTTGCTGCTTGATGGATTGCCTCCTGGATTTCATGGAATCAGATAGAGGGGTGGGCGGCCGAGATCGCTTCTCTAACTCGAGCTTTTTCTGTTGCAACCTTGGGCTCACAGATCCTGACCTTTTTACTGAACTTGTGGTGTTTTCTTTGGGCAACCATTGAGGTCTTGTCAAAGTTTGAGTCAATTTCAAATTTTTGCCATTGGTTCTCTTATCAGTTGAATTGACAGGAATCTCTCTGGAACTAGTTTTTGGAATCTGATCTTTAGCTGTCCAACCATTAATTGAACCCTTTCTGTTATCCACAAGGTCACCACCCCTGAGTTTAGGTAGACCTGATAAACCATCTACTGGAATAACCGAAGAAGAATGAATGCCCGATTTTTTAACAAGTTTTGCTGGTTTCATTATCACTATTGGGGAATCATAATTCCTTGAAAAATCATTCCTCCTGTTTGTGGAAGTAGTTAAAAGACTGCCCTGTGGCTTCTGTTGGTTAACCAATCTCACATTTTGATCATTACCCATATGTTGTAGCTCATGGTTTCTTTGATTTCCAAATTTTGGATCCTGTTCCTCTGCTCTGGTCTCTAAGAGCCCCTTTGCCTGCATTGCTTCAAGTATCTGTTTAAGAGCTCTGAGATCCTTTCCAGACTGTGTGAATTCAAGATCTTTCAATCTTTTCTCTATCTCATTATAAACAGAAGAATATGAGCTAGTTGCCCTCGTTCCTGGAACTTTTGGATGACTGTAAGCTGGCTTCTGAGAACCTCGACTCCTCTCAAGCTGCTTCCATGGTGCTGGTTCTTTTGGAAACCTCGAGACGGGTTTCACAACTGAATCAGGATTTTTCCAATGTGGTGAAGGTGGTTCCGTCCATGAGTTCCTTGAGGATTTAGATTTTGGGATCGACCTGCATTGACCAGTTGATTTTGATGACCTTCCAAATGGATTAGAATCTTCAATGGGGCAAGTATTAATCAACCCCAGCTGACTGTCACTAGTTAAGCAAGAACCTGGAAGTGCATCCAAACCCATTAACTTTGCTACAACACTAGGAGCTCGTGTCTGACTTCCTGATATTTGCTGTGGACTCGTGACCCAGTTGTTGGTGTTGCCACTATCCTGTGTATTTCTCAAAGGAAAGTTCGATTTTAAGTCAGAGTTGAAACCCCTTCTTGAACCCTCCCTACCATCAAGTGAAAGTCTAGGTAACTCTTTAAGATTTGTGGTTTTTTTGAAGACGTCCCGAGATTCGAAGGACAAACGGTTTATTTCTCTCCCATCATAAGAAAACCGAGGAGCATCCTTCGGAATTGAAAACAAAGACCCATCTTTTGATTCGCAAGATGATCTAGAGCGTTCTTTTACTTCACTAAAATACCAAGGTGCTTCCTGAAGTTTAGCAAGAACTCTAAGAGATTCCTTTAGATCAACCGTCAAATTATTCTTTCCATTGGTGCCCAAACTGTGAGATCCATCTGCAGATTTGGACAGCTGCAGAGGCCTCGGGGAGTCTCTATGCTTCACCACATGTTCTGCTGCTACTTCTTTCATTGTGCTTTTAACTGACAGCCCCTGAACTTCTCTGTACATAGAGTCCTTGACCACATCCCGAAGATCAAGGGATTGCCGCCCAAACTGAGGAGAAGCACATGATTGGTTCATTGCTGGTTCATTTGAAGGAGTTTCAGGAAAGATGATTTGGTCAAAAGATGAGGATTCTGGTTGAGCTGTTCTGTTGCAGTCAAGAGAAGAAAAAGAAGATGAACGGGAAGATGAGAAAGAGGCTCTGGATGATTCTGTGGAGACTCTTTGCTTCTCATACACATTCTTGTAAGAATTCTTTTCCTGCAATCACAAGAGGTACACAAAGATTTACATTGATAATGACAGCACGAAATTAAGGCTGCTGATAATATCACAAGACTAAAGACTAGGAAATTAGTTGAGCTTAAATCAATTTTAGGGTTCAGATATTATTCAAAAATATCATTGAAGTTTGGGATACAAGCAGCCACTGCTTGGGGCTAACAACTGGCCATATTTTCAACAAATGATTAGAATGATTTAACTTCAATTATGACTTTGAAAGCCAAGTTAATGCATTTTAAGTAAAAAGAAGCACTGGAGATATGGTGATTGTGTAATTATCTAGATTCTTGATATTAAAGGATTTATTGAGATACAAATGATAATCATATGTAAAATAATAACTTATTAACTACCATGTCAGAGTTGGGCTTTTATTTTGTGATTAAATAGTAGCATCACAAGGTCTCAGGCCTTCAACACCATTCAGCCTAGCTTTATTCCAGCTATGAACAACAGCACACAAACAAGCACACCAACGCGCACGCGCGCACATACATACACATATCTCCAAGAAAGGGTTGAAAAGATTGAATTAAAATTTCTTACCTTCGCTGTCTGTTGATGATATACACTATAAGGCCCTGTCTCAGAAGTGCCATTGCTGAAGTGGGAACTACCTATAGAAGAAGAAACATTTTGATGCTGATATACATGTTACTTATAGGTGGAAAGGCAACTGAAGAATACCACCCAAAAAAATGGAATGTATAAACATATAAACATTAATCTCTTTTTATATTTTAGGCACAGAAAATAAAAGAAATAGACTTTCTAGAAACGGTTTGACAGTGTGAAAATTCATAGCTAATATGAGCAAGTCTAAGCATCATAAGATTAAAATTAATAAAATATGGATAATCTGTTTGCATACGTCAAGGTAATTTAAAGTTATTATTAAAATTCATCATGATTAAGTTACATATAGGTATTTTCTGAGAATAAGTGCCTATTAGATTATATTAATGGTGATTTCATGAATACCCATATTGTGGGTACTTTGTGGATTTGTAAAACCTCTACACAAGCAAGCATTTTGATGCCATCAATCACGTATTCACAAAGTTGATGCAAAGAAAGACAAACACTATAGTAACCTTTGTGGAGGAAGGAACTTACAGAATCAAAGCCATAATACTTGGTTATTAAGTGATGTTTTAAGGGAACAGACATCTAACTAAACAAATTGATGAACACATCTTCAAAATCCAAGTGAGAGTAAATCAAATTAAGCAACAGCCAAGTAAAAATTACCAGAAGGGAGCCTCTTGGGGCTGCGGCCACTGATGTGCCTGCCGGAGAGGATATGGTGTCGATCAAAGAGCTGAATGAAACCAGTCATGCATCCCATTTGATTTTGCAACTCCGGGTTGTCATCGGTCAACGAATGTAGGAGCTTTGCAGCCATTTTACCCCCTTTTCAACTACAAATTTGAATAGCCACACTTCTTAAATGCCTGTCAACCGTTCACGAAGCCTGTAAATTTCCAACCATCCCCATAAAATCTGAATCAGAGGCTCTTCAACAATGTTGAACCCAGTTTTACCACTGCAAATCTATGGCTTCAGAGGCTCACTCTAAGACCAGATTCCAATCACAAGGCCATAAACTAAACCCTAGTGCTTTTCTTTCTTCTTTCCCCTCAAAACTTTTGCATAACTTATATGGCACAAATGAGACTGTTATAACCTCCAAAAGTTTGCAAAAATTAAAGCACCTTCCAAATTAAAGCAATTCCAAATAGAGCCTTCCAAAGAGAGAATCAATCACAAAAGGAAATTAATTCCTTTTGCGTGTACATATATATATGGCTAAATTCTCTCCCAAAAGCCCACTGATTTTTCCAGCTAATCACGGATTAAAAACACTAAAATTATGCTTTTGTCTACGCCCATCAGGCCCAAATTTCATCTTTGTAATTAAAATCCCAAGAAAGCTTCATCTCATAACATAGATTCCCTTTTTTGGATTTTCCACAAATCCGCCCAAATTTTTGTTTGGATCAACAATCAAATAAAACAAGAACAAGAATAGAAGAAAGTTGAAACCCATAAAGTGAAATCACTCCTTATCAACATATGGAAGCATTTTTAGAGGGTTTCATAAAAAAAACCAGACAATGCCTTCTGCTCAAGCTGAAATCAATAGGAGAATCAAAAGATAGAAGGGACCCAATACCCATTTGCCATTTTTGAACCAGAACAAGCAATTGATTAGCCTCAACACCTTCACTTGCCTTAAAAATATATATATATATATATGTGAGAGAGAGAGAGAGAGAGAGAGAGAGATGGAGAATCTCTGCAGATCCAATAAAAGATGTTTTGGTATTATTCTTCACAGAACAAAAAAATTAGGAGATTGAAATATTGAATGATGGTTTTATATTAACAGAAGGTACATGTCAACCAATGTGGTGAAGCGAGAGTTGGCAAAACAAAATGGTATTGAATTTGTGTGGGTTCTATCCTAAAACGTTAAGAGGGAGAGAAGGGAAGGAAGGAGGAAGAGAGAGGGAGTGTGGGTCAGATGTCCATGTGGAATGATTATGTGGGTGGGTCTGGAACTGTCTGCATGGCCATGTGATGCTGTCAAGAGAGAGAGAGGATTTGTGTACTGATAGAGAGAGACACTATTTCTTCCACCTGCAGAGTCCAGGTGCCATTGCTGCATACATACACTTCTCAGCAACTACTAATTTATCTCAGGGCGAATTACGAAAAATTTCCCTGGATTATTTATGAATATTTTTGACAAAAAAAACTCCCCTCAATTATTTCATGAGTATTTTTAATTTATATTTGTTTAAGTGATTGTTTGAGGAAAGTTTTTAGACCAAATTATTCTTTAACAGATTATTATTTCAGATAATTTATTTTTGTATTTTCTCTCTTTTCTCTCTCTCTCCGTCAAGCAAGATATGTGAAGCAATAAAGAAAAATTTTCAAAAAATAAAAAATGAAAAACCAATAATATCATATTTAAGCTATACATAATTAATAAAATAAAATTGAGTACAACAGCACATGAGAGACAAAATCCACCACGGTGTTGGAATAAAAGATGAAAAAATTAAGCAGTTCAAAAACTCCTTCAGTGCACTTGATCTTTAGCAGCCATTATAAGTTAAAACAGTTAATTATTTTAAAGAAAATAATTAATAATTTGTCATGTTTCCTTGGTTTCTTTTCCTTAATTGAATTATGTTATTACAAGGTAAGTGCACTAAAATTGGCAATTAAAAAGTAACACAATTTCTTTTTTAAACCTGTAATTTGAGAACACCAAATACCTTAAAGTAACTTTTTGATGTACTCAAGTTAAAGACCTAAAAATATGACCACTTTTAATGTAAAAGGACATTGTCGTCCTCTATTCAATTTATAAGAATCTAATTATAAAGGACATTTAAGTCATTTAGTTTGAAAGAAATGCATTTATCATCTCATCATATATTGTTTTGATTCCACTACTTTTGATTCTTCCATCACCTGCTATTCGAAAATTACATACCATGTGGACGAAGTATAAGGGGTAATTTCTGGGAAGCTTACTCACTATTATTATTAAGATAGTTTTTTTTATTTTTTTATTTTTTATAAAAAAATTCTTATTATTAAGATGGTAAGAAACCAAATGAAACATAACATTTTTTACATGCAAATGATTTGTTCAATTCCACGGATGAAATCATGACAAAAAATAATAAATAAATAAAATAAATAAAAAATAATAAAATCAATAATAAAAGTAAATAAATAAAAATAAGTCATAGATTAAATGAATATAGCTGAGTATTCTTGGGGCCTCAACTATTGTTTACATGTGCTATATCATGTTGTTCAATCAGTGTTGAAAGATAAATTTTCAACAATTGGGTTTCTCGATCTGTTAGCTTTGTGTTTAAAGGAATGAGAAAGCTTGCTTGACGCAGCCGAGAGAAAAAAAAGAAAAAATAAATAAATAAATTGTCTGGAGAATAATCTGTTAAAAGGTAATTTCGTCCAAAAAATTCATTCAGACAACCACTTAAATGGATATCAGTTAAAAACACCCTCTTGGGATAGTTGAGGAAATTTTTTTTGTCAAAAATATTCATAAGGAGAGTTTTTCGTAACTGAATAATAGTAAAAATGGATTTTTTGCAATTCGCCCTTTATCTTACCTGAGTTAGCCTCCATTAAATTTTCTCATCTTTGCCCTCCTCTTCAAGGAAAAAATAAAAAGATATAGAGAAAAAAGAAATAATTTTTTGTACTATAAAAATTAAAATTTCCATTTATTTTTATTACCAACTGATATAACAATAGTTGAATTAAAAACTTTAAAGGAATAGAGACTCTAATTGATTTATTACTATGTAAGAATTCATACTAGATATTATTTATTATAGTCACCAAAAAAACCTAATTCAACAACGTTACCAAAACCCTAGTTGGAGTCCTAAGGAAATGTCAGTTGAACGCTAATAATTAATATTGTACTTACAAATATTTTTTTAAAACTAGTGAATCAATTCAGACGTTACTGTACAACCTAGTTAGTAGAGTACTTATGAGTTCTCTAAGCTGGTTTATCCGTATTCGAGTCTCACTTTTTCAAAATTAAAATAATTAGACGTTCCACTCTTGTACTAGCACGTACTTAGGTGATGTATAAAAGTATTTTAAAATAATTTTGAGATCAAAACTAGGATAGAAAAAACATTTGCCTTTATATTTATCCATTTAAAAATATTATTTAATTTTTAAATTTTTTTATTTTTTCCTTACAAATTACATTGATACTTTCCAAGGGAGAAGACCCTCTTAACTAACTAATTGTTGCTAAAACCAGCCTTTCATATTGAATGCCAACTTGGCCATGTGATGTGGGAACTATAAGATTGCAAACATATAAGAGAGGTTTGTAAAAGTGGGCAAAGTGGCTCAATACGTGGTTTTGAATCTTGACCGAATCTCATTTATTATGGGCAATAATGGTTTTGACAACCTAAACATGTAACATTGGGATTAGTTTATAATTCATTCCATACAACTATACAAGCATGGAGCCTTGGATTAGTGAAAACATTGGAGATTGTTGGTATGTTAGGAATATTTCTCACAATTCACAGATGATACTTTTAAAAATATAAAAAAATACAAAAAATTGGTTTATTGATTACCATGTAAAAATAAATTTATTTTAAAAGTAAAAATCAAATTTGATATATTAGTTTAGTAAAATTATAAAAAATGATAGCAAAGGGACAATGCGTTACACAAAATGAATGTCTAAGCTCTGTTGTGGTAGCTTTAACCAATTAAAGAGAAGAAAAATTACGTTAGAAATTTTAAAATGTGCAAAAGGGACCAATTATTGCAGAATTGATTTCCTCAAGTAAAGACAACACAAGAACAATAGGACAGCCAAAAAATACTACTACTAATAATAATTAGGCAACAGCGCCCTTACTAGCCATATGGTCAAATATATATATATATATATATATATATATATATATATATATATACACTGACCGAAGCGTCATTATAACATGGAGGCCACTATGTAAAATTGTAAACTTGTATATATAAAGTCAAATATACAAGTTTCATAATCCCTTGCAAGACTAATTGAAGGGCATTTTGGTCAATAAGGGAATTTTATAATTTTTTATTTTTTATTTTTTATGAAAATTTTCTATTACTTGATAGTTACTTTAACTTATACGAATGCTATATATATCCTTGCATTACACACACGCGCGCGCGTAGGTGGTATTTGAGTGGCACCCAAAATAAAACTGAGCTAGATTTTTAATATTTTAGGAACTGGAATGTTTTTCCAGATTCCTTGGGCACATGGCTGCCAAACACATGAATGGAGCTTGGCATTGTTCAACATTGTCCTATTTTAGCATTCATATTTCTCTCTATATAAATATTATATATATATATATATATGTCTCTCTCTCTCTCTCTCTCTTACACACCCCATCTTTAATCTGAAGGTAAAAGTAGATAGTAACCTGTACGTGCATTCTTCAACTACGGCCACTTCAATTATTGTATGATATTTGCTCACTCATGATCAAAGCCTAATAATTTAACAGGTACTTTTGCTCATATAAATTGGAGAATTAATGAATCAACACAGTACGTATAAACTATAAAGAAGCTAGCTCAAATATACACTACTGTAATAATTAGTTCAATATAAATATAATTTTTTTGCTTATATATTTTGAGATGCTAACTATTTTTTTCTATCAGGAATTTCAGATAAATATATATATTTTTCCTAGACGCTAAATTTGCATTTAAATTAACAGATAAATACTAACCAATTAATATGATGAGATGCATGTAGATACTGTAGAAAGACAATGAATGTCACATAATTGTCCCATATATACACATATATGGTATTCCAAGCTGCATTATCATTATTATAATTGTTTTTAGCTAAATATGTAACAAAACAATATTGATGTACATTCCTGGATTAACAAAGGTAATGAATTCCTCTCACAGAAAGATTTATCTAGATTTATCAAATAAAACTAATTAATGGGAATATTGATAATGATGTAAATATATTGATAGCTCTCATACTTGTAGACCTTTCACTGTTAACAACAATATTATGGATTCCTATCATTTTGTTGTCGTTAAAGTGATATTTATGGTCACATTAATATTGATATGGATGTACATTTGCTTGAACACCTTTCTCTACCTTCATCAAAATAGACATATAAACTAACCTTACATAACATGTATATATACTATATGTGTATTATATCTGTGCGTGCGCGCGCGTGTTTGGGTTGGGGGGTGCTTGGGATGATTTTTTTATTTTTATTTATACTTACGTTACAAAAAATTCACAAAAATATCATTATATCACAATTTGAAATGACTGATGAATGAAATATGAAATACATATATAGGAATGTGTATATGAATACATAAATATAAATGAATTGTATGTATTCAATCATTGAACGTGATTCACACATGGTGTAGGGTGGGACCCATCACAACATGATGGATTCCACCCACTTTATGTCAATCGGCCTCGACCAAATTCGGAAAGAATTTTTTTGAATGAAAATATACCTCTCAATGTATTGATGTGGAATTGTATATGCATGGATGTCACACACATGCATGAATTAAACAAGAACCAGTTGAAAAGGTAGTGATGATAAATTGTTGAGACACAGAAAAGTTAAGGATTGAGCAAAGAAATTGTATCACCACCACATGCAATGCATAAAGTGAAGATCGCGATCATGTGGTATGCTCCAACCCTAACCAACCTATCTCAATCATCTTACCCCACGTTCTAAGGTACATTACTAAAATCACTCTCCTCTCATTGCCACATCATGCCCTACTTATCAAACACTCATACATATATCCCCACCTAAATCATCATTGTAAACTGACAAATAAGTGATTATGAAATCAATCAATATTCATCAGGGTGGGATCCAACTTCAATTATAATACCAGTTATATATATATATATATATAGAAAAGCTCTAATTAGATAAAAATAAATATATATATATATAAATAATAAAGTCCAATTACACGTCCTATAAAAGTTGGGTTCCTGCATTTCTTAGAAGATTATAGAGGACGTGTCTTGATTATTATTGCACCAAGTAAAACATTTTATTGTTTATTAGGAGTCCCTCTAGTGTCCCTGTTATGCATATTCGAGTCAACTAACTTACAAATGTATCATGAATAAAATCTTTATAAATAATAATAATAATAATCGCAATTGGTGCATCATTTTTGTCACTTAGTCAATCGACATTTATAATTTTTTTATTAATGGTGTTAGTACTTGGTCTATATGACAGCTATATATGACGCACCAAAGCAATTTCGATATATATATATATATTCTTCCCTGCCCTTCCGCGGCTCTAACAAGTCATTCTTAAGTTATGTTGCTTGCCGATCGGGTGTTGTCAGGTTCATCCGAAGTGGTGCATATATGATTTGGATAAGTCGGTACACCGTATACCCAGCGCACTCAACACTTATACTTTACCAATAAACAATAAAGTTACAGTCAATTATGTGAAATTTCACTTATTTGCTTTAATTTTTTATAAAAAAAAAAAAATCGAAAATTAGTTTTAATTTTGAACAATTTGGCTAAATTATAATTTTGAGAATACAACTGATTAGCAATGGAGTTGTGAGATCAATATAATCCAACGGTCCAACCAATTCCATAGCACATGAGTAGTTGATTATAATTAAAAAGTCACCAACCATCTGACGGGGTTTGATTACCGTTTAGCTCATGTGGACCATACATTCCAAAAAAACATCATGCATGTCTGTAACTGCCCTTGGGGTTGGTTAAGCACATACATAATACAACCATAAATGGTTGGCAAATTATCTATTTGGAATCATAATAACAAACGCAAATGAGATCTTCATGAAATTAAAGCTTAAATAACATATTGGTGGTTAAGTCACAAAATAGACGGTCAATTCCAACCACCTGCACTAAGTAGATGATGCTGACAGTGAAGAGGATGGAGAGCCAGAAAGTCCAGCATCTTAAAGGTTAAACATCAGCTAGTCTTGTCTGCTCATTATTACAGTTTTGCCTTGGGCCCATGCATGGATTTAGATTTCTTCAAGTTGCAGTAAGATCATCAAGACTCAACTGCGGTTCAGGCCATATGTACGTGCATGCGCTTGTATGTTCATGCATATTCGTTCGCTAGGCATGCAGAGAGACTATTTTCCGTTACCAATACACCAGGCCCGCGTTTGTTTCAACTTCTATCATTCAATATTTATTTTCTACCAGAATCTAAAACCAGATAAACACACGTTCACCCATAATGCATGTAACGACCCAAAATATAGATAAAAACCTCCAATTTGAGTTTAAGAACTCTAAAATTTCGAAACTCCTAGAGAGCACTAAAGTTGAAATTGCTGGTACTCACGCGTAAATCTCGCCGTGCTTTCCGATGTGCCGCAAACAGCTTCCAAAAATTTCAAGAATGGAAGGAGGAATCAAAGCTTGAAGTTGTAGAAAAAAAAGAAAAGGGAAGCCACGGACCGAACGAGAGAGAGAGAGATGCGCAGAGAAAATTTTAAAAAAAAAAAAGCAATCTGGTCAATGGCCATTAGGCCATTTTGTGATGTTTAAAAATATTGGTGGGGCCCACTAGCTTTTTAAAAAAAAAATTAATACTTTAACATATATATATATGCGCGCGTTAAACACTTAACCTTCTATTTTGAAAGGTAAGGAGAACTAACTAAGCTAAGAAGCCCTTGGTCTGATAAAAGAGTAGTTGCGTAAATGCTGACATAAAATAACAACTAATATCTGTCCGGTGTACTCCTTTAAATTGACATAACAGTTCCATCTGTAAATAGACCATGGATCATAATACAGTCACAACCACAATGGTTAATCTCAAAGTTTGACCAAACACGTTCAAGGCATATGGCAAGATCATAAAAACAATAAATGAAATCACAGCCACAATGGTTGATCTTTTAAGTTTGACCAAATGGGTGATTGACTTGGTTTTTCATCAGTTAAATTGAAGTTTGACTTGAGAAATGATTTCTTAGAGACCAAAGTTCACCAATCATATTGGGTTGAAAGATTAATTGTTGCATTGGTCCCAAAATCCATATGAGCACTTGGGCAAATTTCCTCACGTTGCTCTAATTGAGCAAAGAAACATGTACCCTGCACCATCATCAATTACTGGATGAAATTTCAAAGCAATTCCCAAGACATTGATGACATCCAGCTTGTATCATCAATTCTTCTAAGTTATATATAGCAACCAAACTTATATATAACCATACATCATTCCCAAGACTACAAATACATTCTTTCTTTCCAGAGATAAGGAACCTTACGCAGCCTCAGCTTCAAAATTATACTCTACAAGGTTTGCGGGAGATTGCACATATCTGGAGTTTGCAAACCATTCGAGAGTCGGCTAATGGGTGGATTGATTCTTCGTTATTTAAGAAATAAAAAATATTAAAAAGAAAAAAATTACACTAAGATTCTTTGCAATGCTGCCTGCAGAGTAATATGCAACATTTCAGCAATCATCCCAAGAAACCTCATTTGCAGATTCCTGTTCAGAACTTCACTCCAAAAGACAAAAAGTAAGCAACCCAACTACATGAATCCATCTATCATTCCTAACACTTCAAATGCATATTTTCTTTCTGGAAATAAGGAAACAAATGTCGATTCAATTTCAGAAATCCACTACAAATCTTTGGAATGCTGCCTGCAAAGTAATGTATAAATACTACAGCAATAATCACAAGAAACCCCAAATGCAGATTCTATTTCACAATTTCACACAAATAGACATCCTAACCCTACCTAAAGGGTAATATCTAATATTACGATCCTCAAAACTAAATAGCATACTCTGTCCTTCCTGAGGAACAGTGGTTCTGGCTATCCAAGAGAGCGCACATCATCCCAACAACAAGAAAGGAGAAAGTACTTCGATTTTCCTCAAACATGACAAGGCAAGAGCTTCTAGTGGAACGCATTGAACTTTTATGGCAAATAAGCAGAAAGACAACTTAAAATTTTCACATATTATGATATGTGCAAATATTTGACAGTAATACCTAGTGTAAGGTCCTGAGTTCATAACTCCAGCCACATTCACACACAGAATGAGAACAAGAAATCTCCAATCTCTTTAGCAAAAAAGCAAAAATAATAATTTCATCATCAATTTGAGACCTAATTTTCATCTGCTTTTCTTTTATCACCTAATTAAAAATTGAATGGACAAAATCTACAAAGCCTGAACATGGATTAGAGATACAAATGCAATATGATGCAAACGTGTCAATACAAAAAATGCTGGAAGAATGAGATATGGGTACCAAGGACATGGCAATATATGTCTATATGTAAATTTGAAAGATAAAAAACATATAACTAAATGAATGTATGTAAAACAAATTGAAAGAAATATTATACTATCATGTTACATACACATTTCACAACAAGATAACCATTTTTTTGTTAAACAATCAAATTATTATATACTTCTAACTAATAATATTACAATTCATAAGAGAAAAAAATGGTTATGTTGCATCAACATGGTCAAGTAAACCAAATTCATCATGATTTTCCTTAGTATAATATCAACCTTCCATTCTAAGAAATAATCAGTTGTTTGAAGTTCCATAGCTTTTGGTCCGCTATCATCATGATTTCCCTACCCTCAGAGGGAAAGGTCCTTCCCTTTTGGTCCGGTTGTTGGCGAGGAGGGATTTGGACCCCCAACACCATGGTAGGCAGCCACCTGTTATAATCGTCTTAAGTACAGGCCCAACCATCTCCAATGGATCTGTTCCAGTTGTTTTATTTTCCTAACAATTATATCATGATATTATACTACAAAAATGCTGGTTTCAAATGTTGAATATATGTTGTACACATGTCCAAGAGTATCCGAGAAGTAATCGGTATGTGGGGTGAAATTAAAACGTTTATTTCAAGTAATGGATTTCTTTAAGAAGTATTGAACACAAATAAGCCTACCCAGGAGCATCCGCGTACGAGACATATAAGACATTAATATGACTCCCTTTCAAAAGTATACATGCTTAATAGGATGTAATGGATATGCAACTACATCTCTAGTATCAAATCTATTATATTCGTTAATAGTACACCAAGACATCAGTATAAGTTCGCACACAAACACAAAGGGACCACGCACATTTTCTTAATTACTGAAGAAATAATGCCCAAAATTTTGAAAAATCCAAGTCAAATTACTGGAACACTTGCTGAATCTTGAGCATAACAATACCAATTATACAAAGCCACACAAGACCTGATAAGATAGATCAGTCATTTAACTTTCCAGAACAAAAAATATAAAATATCCTGAAGACCACAAGCTTCAGCACTACACGAGGTAAACATTTTGTCCCTCATCCTCTGATCTTGATTGCGAACAACTTCGCTACCTAAAGCTTTGTTCCAACCGAAGGGAGTGTTAGATACCCCCTATCTCTTTCTCCCAGATGTACTAACATTTACGAATATATAAAAGGAGAAAATGTTGGGGTTGGGTGGGGGGACAGTATGAAGTCTGCTGTCTTAAATCTTAAAATGAGGAGAAAATTCTCACCTTCCATCAATCACAAGATCTTACCTGAATCACTTAGTAATGCAAAGTGCCAAAATATGGAAAAAGATAGTTCAAATTTACCATGACTCACTCATTGACAACTGAAAACTTCCTGCTGAATCCGAGACCACTTAATCCAAAGGACTTCAACATCTCGTTGCCTGTCATATGGACATTTTAAGGTAAGCATATTGATTTCAAAGAAACCCACGTCTACTTCAAGAAAGAGTGATTAAGATGTAGGAAAACAATCTCTAGAAATTTCAGGATGTCAAACAGCTACAGAAGGTTATAAATATCAATGTCTGTCTTCTTCCAGGATTACATTGAAAAAGTAAAATTCTCAACATGTGGTGGATCCATTCAAGTCATATCCTCTATTGCTCATTCAGTTTAATCCATGGCAAGCTTTACATTTCCAATTGGCTATCCCACTCCAACTTACAACATTGAGATAGATAGCTTATAGATAAATAGATGGATAGACGCGCGCGCGCGTGTACACACGCATATAGAGAGCGAGAATAACTAATGACAACCATAATTTCTATCTTAAATCAATAAACTCCCATCTGCAGCACAAACCAGATGCTTTTGTTGGCTGCATATCTGCAAATAAATTGAATGATACTCTAATAGCCTAAAGTTGGAGAATTTACTCTTTCAACAAGCCCTAGAAGGAGATACTACTTGAGTTGAGTTCCATTTTAAAAGCTGTAGTCTATGCCTTTAGAAATGGTGAAGTGTTATTAAAGACCAAAAAAGCTTTATAAAGGGACTCTAATTGCATTAAGCTTAGTGCAGCCCCAGGAGAGGCGAGATTTGTGGTTGCCAGTGCCCAACTTCTTAGTCCAACCACAATTCATAATGAACCAAGCTTGGAAATGCTACAACCCCTTGTTGTGACGATGAAGGGTGATTCTTAGAATGACTGATATTATTATTTTAAAAAGAAAAAGATCATTAGGCAGCTTGAGTCATAGGAATCTGCAAGTTTGGAACTTATTCAGTAATAACTCCGTGGACTATATACTCTGTGATTCTCAACTACAGAAGCAAAAGATGTTGATCACATCCACATCCCTCCAAAAGGAAAGCCATATAAGCCCGTATCACGAAAAAATCTGCATCCTTAGGAAACTAGTGCACTGGGAATTTGAATATGTATTCACCAGCAGGAAGATGGAGAAAATATGGAAGCTCCATCAGTAAATAAACCTCAATCGGGATTTTGAGGCCAACTACTCTCTCCATTTGTCAACCAATATGAATCCTCCACAGCATCACAAAAAGGGGTCTGCAACCACCATTATCAGAGAAAATAAGGACCACCTCATTCCCCCAGACCCCAAAATTTGAGAAGCCCTTGTCTTCCTAATAATACAAAAGTAGCCCTGTATTTGAACTAATGCAGTGGAGATCTAACTGATCCATGAAAGTTAGAAGTTGTAACCAGAAGACAGAGAAGAAGAAATATTGGATTTCTCAAGTTAAAAATCCTTTTCAGACTACAGTAACAATTATTACCTAGTTTACCTTACAAAGGGAAAATACCAACAACTCAAATGGCCATTCCAACTCAAGAACATATAGCGGCCCGGTGTGTTCCCAAAAAGTATAACTTCTTGTTGAAGATGTAATCCCTTTGGTAAGAGTATAAATTTCATATCTTGTCTTTCACATAATAAGTAATATATAAATTTTTAGTTATAATACTAATATATAAGACTTTACCTTTCCTTGAGCTGCCATTTCTCTAAGGATGTCATAATACGAATGAATATAACATAAAAATTGAAGAGAGAAAATAAACATGGAGAACACAAGGATAGAAAAACAAAGCCCAAAGGGCTACATCACATTATATTCTCTCTTGATCTTTGTATACAGTGGTCACCTCTATTTATAGGTGAAAGGATATAAGTGATAAATATTGAAAATACATTGATGGAGGATTCTTACAATCAATCCCATATATTACTCCAATCAATCCCATATTCTATCATAGGCTAAAATCACTCTTATGATATTCCAAAGCAATATTCTGTCAAGGAGAAAATTAAGGGTTTCTATAATATTATTCTCCAACAGCCCCCCTCACGTTGGTACACGGAGATTTAAACTCAAGTGTCCAACTTGAAACTAAATATGAAGGTGTCGAGAGTTTGAGACGAGTAGATCTAAGATGAGTTGATCCGGAGATCCAAGACAAGTTGATCTGAAGATCTGAGCCGAGACGAGTTGATCCGAAGATCCTCGATGAGTAGAGTATAGAGTAGGGTATGATACATCTACTCTGATACCATATTGAAAGACATAAAAATTGAAGAGAGAAAATACACATGGAGAACACAACGATAGAAAAACAAAGCCCAAAGGGCTACATCACTTTTATTATTATTATTTTTGATAAGTAAGATTTTATAAAAAGCGCTCAAAAGGGGAGCGAATCCCAAAGAAACAAAAGGCCACAAAAAACTTCAAAGAGGCCAAAAAAAAAAAAAACAATCTTCTCTACAGAACGATAATCTCTCCCTGAAACCCAACAAAAGAGAGTGGAAATAATGGAGAACTTAAGTACAAAAATAGGCTTCTCCTTTCCATCGAAATATTGCCGATTCCTCTCGATCCAAATGCACCACCAAATACAAAGAGGCGTAGCCCTCCCTGCATCCTGAATAAGAGCCCCAACCGAGACACCTCTCCAAACCTAAATCAACCCTCGAGAGGAACGGGGCATACAATGATCACTTTTATTATATTCTCTTTTGATCTTTGTATACAATGATCACCTTTATTTATAGGTGAAAGGATATAAGTGGTAAATATGGAAAATAAATCGATGGAGGATTCTTACAATCAATCCCATATATTACTCCAATCAATCCCATATTCTATCATAGGCTAAAATCACTCCTATGATATTCCAAAGCAATATTATGTCAAGGAGGAAATTAAAGGTTTCTATAATATTATTTTCCAACAATATATATAAACGAGAAACTATCATAGGCTGGGAAAAAGTCATATATGCCAAACAGAGATTATCGTTTTCTTGGTCACCGAGGAAGATGAAATAAGCAAAAGAAAAAAAAAAAAAAAAAACTAAATAACAAATTTGAATAAATCCCACCTAATTATTGAATTGCAAACTATCTAAAATATTTTGCAATTTTATTTTGTAAAGATTCAGGAAATACTGAAATAGAAGAAATGAGAAAAATTACCAGCAGGTCAAGTTCAAATATATAAGATTTTTTTCTTTCTTACCAATCAATCTAAAACAATAAACAAAATTTTTTGGTTAGATTGAAAAGGGCAAAGGGTATCCACAAGCTCAAATTTATTCACGATGGTAATGTATGTAAAAAAACTATATTACATAACAACATTAGGGAATAATGATAGTCAATATATGTGCATGTGGGAAACATATTTTCTAAGTGAGGCTCATGCAAGACTCACAGAAATTGGAAGGACAACATTCATCCTTTGGTTGCCTTTTCTAAATGTCACTAGGGCCAAGTTCAGCTGACATAAGACAAAAAATTCTGGCAGTTAAAGCTACTTTCACAATCATGGTGTGTTTATAGACTGCATTTTCTTTTCCCTTCTTTTTTTTTTTTTTTGGGAAAGTCATAGATTGCATCTTCAATAAATTGAACTTGTACTCTTTTCAGCATGTTGAATTTAAAAAATTCAACTTCACACCATTATTCTTGAGAGGGGTTTGTCTAATTATCAAAAAAGAAGGGTGCAATATTTTTTAGAATGCACCAAAAAATGAGTAAAAATGACAAGTGTTGGAACACGGGGAAAAATAAGACATGAGAAATTATTTTCAGTGAAATAATTTTTTTCTTTATTTATTATTATTATTATTTTTACAAGTAACATGTATTAGATAGCTTTCAAATTATTATTTTCTTTATTGCAATCTAAATTTTCAATAATCTGACCACTTTGCAGTCAAGCTTACCAACTAATGGCAATGTTGAAATTTTAGAACATTCATATATATGTTATCTAGCTGTAAAAATTATAAACATTGGGTATAAAATAAAAAAAAAAAATAGACTATAGGCACAGAAATATTAATTAAAGAAAAAAAAAATGCTGATGAATTTAAAGAAATTCATTACATACAAGTTTTGGAGCTTCCTCAGAACTTTGCTGAGGCTGGAATTTATATTATCTTCTATCAATAAGTTCATCTTCTTATGGGCCCTAACGCCATCGCTCATGGGTGTACTAGCATTCTAACAGGTACTAACATTACAAACAGCAGCATGCACTCTCTTTTTTTTCCCAACAAGAGCTGCAAGTTCCCCTCCTCATAGCTTAAGTTTCTAAAAGTGGAAGCATACTAGTTTTTCAGCTGCAATTGATTAGTCATTAATACAGAAGTTAGTACATAAATTGACATAAGGGTGTACATTACACAAACACACACACACAAGAGTAAATAAAGGACTTACGGGTCTAACCAAATTTGCTACCTGCTGGAAACACAGTGAATGCCAACTTTTATACTTTGACATATTTATCAACATAGCCCTGCAAAATATTTTGTGGCAACAATGTTGTTAAAAAGAAAATAACTAATTTTATTCTAGCAGCATGTCCAATTATAATAACAAGAAATTTATCTCAGAATATCTTATTCAGTGTAAAACCTTCATAATTGTTCAAGCTAGTTTCAAAAAACTAACAGAAACAACATTTTCATAAAAAATAATTGAAAGTAAGAAAAGCAGCATAACTTCATATGTTACATACTAGATTCAAACTCAAATCCACTATTAAACATGCCAAGATATAGCTGTTCATATAAGAATTTTTTTTTTCATTAATAAAATATTTATGTGAGATTTAGAGCCCCATAAACATCTTGATTTAGATACTTCAACATCTTCTTTTAATATAACACATGCTAAAACACAAAATATGAAAATATGGTCCTGGATATTAAACTCAATTTCTCAACACCTGAAACTCAAGATAGGACCAACACCCAGTTGTTCCTCCTACTGTGTTAGATGCTGTTCCATAAAAAAACTAAAAAATAAGAGCTGAAAATTGATTTTTTTTTTTTTTTTTTTTTTTTTGACAAGTAAGAATTTTATAAAAAGCGCTCAAAAGGGGAGCGCATCTCAAGGGAACAAAAACAGGCCAAAACAGCCATTACACTTTCAAAGAGACCAAAAAAACATTAAGTGCTAAAGTTTCAAGTGCATAATTTGTAAATCTGATTTTTGTTAAGGATAAATTTGTTCAGTTAAATAAAAAGTTTAAATAAATTCTCAGCAGATTCTAGCTAAGCAAATCCAGTGGTAAGGGATAGATGCACTCCTTTAACTAGAACTAATTTTATTTTATTTTAAAGACACTCAAACGCGTTATGAAACACACTTATTGCAAAATCACTTAACTTGCTCAGTTAAATGTTGAATTGAATTGTCTAAAAGCCTAATGGTACTTAAAAACACACTAATTAAGTCAGAAACATCCCCTGTTACTTTTCATAGTGTTTCTTTATATGGAGAACAAGAATACAAACAATATGAATGTGGGGTGTGCTATGTGCATCATGATTTAAGTCATGCTGGTTCAGGTGCAGATTGCCATCAGAAAGCATAACGACAACTGAAAAGAAGATTTACCATCACAAGTTTAGTCAGTTTACGCTGCGATGAATCAATGTAATGATTTATCTTTGCCTGAGACTTGGGTATTTGGTGGCTCTTCATAGCTCCAGCCACCTTATCAACAGTCTTCTTGACAATGGTCTTAAAAGCCTCCTTACTCATATTACCCTGTCGCCAAGATGGCTTTAACACCTCCTTCACAAAATCTGCAAGGGCACCTTTGAAAAGTTTCATTGATCTGGAATCCTTGCCCTTCCTGCTCTTCCCTGGCGTCTTAATCTGATCAATCTCAATCTCTCCTGCAGCTGTATTCATTACATCAAGAGGAGTGCTTGGGCTTCCATTCTCCACAGCACCCACTTCTGCATCTGCTGTTTCACCAAATTCATCATTATCATTTTCCAGAGATGTAGTTACAGCAACAACGTCTTTCTGCTTGTTGTTTTCTTCCACATCCAATGGCTTATATGTGCCGCTCAGCCTTAACATGACATCAGAGTCATTGGTGGGTTCACGCTTTTTACCATGATCAAATTTCCTGAATGAGTTTGAAGATGGCTCAATGCTGTCAAATAGGGGATCATACTGCTCACCACCTAATCTAGGCAAAACATGCTCCACAGCCCGGGCAGGATTTGGAGAGGATGTCGTATGCCTAGAGCTAAGACTTCCAATACCTTGCCCATCAACAGGATCATGGCTCAAACTGAAAGAAGTATCATGTTTAAAACTGTGTGGTATGTCTTTTTCGTGCTTGAAAATATTTGAGCTGAATTTAGAACTTAGTGGCTGGTCAAAAGTAGATGCATAAGGATTGTAGTAGTTTGAAATTCTTGATCCTCCAAAGTTGGACAGGTGGGACGGATGATTCCTGTCCAGAATATCTGATGTGTGCCTTGACATGGTAGAATCACTCTTCCCAGGCTCGTCCGGGTGTCCAGAAACACTATCAGCTGCAGGACATTGAAGACTGTACAACGGCTGTTGCTGCTGTAGGTAAGGATTGTCAGAAGGCGACATAAAAAGCTCACCAGGGCGCAAATTGTCACCAGGGAAAGATTGCATTCGCCTTCCTGCTGGTTCCCTGAAAAAAGGCACATGTTGAGTGGCCATGTTACCCTGAGTCGATGGATTTGAAGAGACTAACCCCTGTACCGGAAGCCTTGTGAAGCGATCTTCCCCAACATGATTGGGTCCCCCAAATGGTTGACTCATTGGGTTGCCCGCAGGGAGAGTTGTCGGTCTAATATTTTCCATGTGGAAAGGGGGACGATTAGGCTCCTGCCTTGGAGAGTGGATTCGATGTGGATAGTCAACAACTTGAGAATATGCAGGCACTTCAGTTGGGTAGGGCCTCATAACTGTCTGCAAAGAGAAATCATTTCTTGGAGGTAGCTGATTAGGTTGGAAATTTAATGAAGTAACATTAGTCATGCCAGTTGTTGCATTTAGAGTTGATTCATTAATGTATGGAGGTCGTGGTGGCGGGGGCGGCAGGGAGGTCCAAGAGGCATTTGGTGCTACAGAGAAGTGAGAATGTTGGTTGGACATTGGACCTTGATAGGGAGAAAATTTTTCCACAGAAGCAGAATGAGGTGGAAATTTTGCAGCTAATGGCATTAAGTTGTAATCTCCTGACAGCTGTGGCGCTGGTGGCATATTTGTGCCTTGTGAAAGTGAAGGAAGGGGAGGTGGTAACTGTGAATAATAATGTGGAAAACCCGCAGTAGGAAAAATGGGTGAGGTTATCTCCTTCGGAGGCAAAGATTGAGATGAAAAACCTTCAGAGGAATATGGCTGGTTTGTAGAACCCGTACCGGGGAATGACTGAATTGAAGAGATTTTATCTGTAAGAGGTCCACTGCTGGGTAGCTGATTCAGGAAGGATGTTGATGTCTGAATGGGTGACAAATCAGAGGCAGAAGAACTCTGCTGAGGTTGGTGGTCAACATTTTGAAGCACCTGAGTAGACAGATTAGCTTGTGATTTTGGAACCGACAAACTGTCAGTGGAAGGTATTCCATGAGAAGTATCACCAGGAGACTTTGGGGCATTGACTTCAGCTACTGAACAATCGGGAATTCTATCAATCGGCTGTAACACTTCCACTCCTTTTGGACCCGCAACACTGTCAGGAAGGTTAATTGTAGGTTCCACGAGCTCTTCTTTAATGCCTTGAGTTTCCTGCACTTGAGTTGTAGATCTCTCAGATTCAGCCACATCAGTAACCAATGATATACTCTCTCTGTCAGTAATTACAGGCTGCACAGCATTCCTTACAGATATTGTATCTTCTTTCCCATCACTGCCCCCCTCCTTTAAAGCACCAAAAATGTCTTCAGGTATGTCCTGAAAGGGTTGTGTTTCTTGGCTCTTGATTGCATCCTGCTCATGAACTGATTTTTTGAAAGGGATATTCTCAATCTCTTCATGCAAATCCAAACTCCTAGAACTAGGTGGAACATCCACATGCTGATGTTTGCTCCTATAGTTCCTTGATCCATCACTCTTGTCAGAATAACTGTGCAGATACCTACATGATGCTCCACGGTAGCATCTGCCCCGAAGAAAGTCAAAGCAAGCTGGAATCTGGCCCTTGTTGTCCCGTCTCATTCTGTCACCACCAAAGTCAACACCACGCCTTAAAGTGGGAGATCTGCTCCTGCTTCTTCGTTTCTTCGGAGACCAACTGAAACAGAACCAGCGAAACATTTGCGATTTTGATAAAGACACAATCCAGGAAATTACTATAGAAGAAAATTAACAGATAGCAAATCTGAAATACCTTAAACCACTTTGGTGGCAAGCTATTATGAATCACACAAAGAATTCAGATACATAGTCCAAAACATAACTCAAATAAAATGCAAACCTGCGAGATTGGCTTCGCTTCTCCTTCCTTCTCCATGAACTCCTCCTCCTCCTAGCATCATGAGGAGATCGGCTTCGGCTCCTACTTTTGCCTCTCTTAACACGCCTTCCTTTATAGTGTGAATCATCAGAATCACTGTCGCTAACACCTTCTCGAACCAATCTCCCAAACTCATCAACTTTTAATGGAGTAGGCGTATGCTTCACATCTTCCTTCCGATACTTGCCACTTTTAGCTGCAGCATCAACACATCCCAATGCATCTTTTCCTTGAAAAGCCTCTTGAGAAGCAGCATTGTGAACAGATTCCTGATTTCTGTAGTTGTCATGTCCCTCAGTTCTTCCAATTGCAATAGATGTTATATCACTTTCCTTGGAAGTCCTTCGTGATTCCAAGGAAAATTCCAGAGCTTTAGAAGGCATACTTAGAGAACATGCAACAACAGATTCGGAGAATGTTCCAAACCCAACTTCAGAAGTTGACAGATTCTTTGATCCTATATCAGTCTGGAAATTAGAAACCATATCTCCATCCAAACTTGTACCTACATCTGTAGTTGATGGTGAGGCTGTTACAGGGCTAACATCTTGAAGACGAGGCTCATCATTGTTTTCTGCACTTTCATCAGAAGCATAGTCCTGTAGAAGTCTGAAAGGGCTAGTGCCTTCAATTAGTTCACCAGGAAACTTATCAGAACGTATGTCAGCAGCAGATGCTGAGGCATTGGATTGGCCCAAATCTGGTTGGGAGGTAATAGAAGAGTTGTCTACATTGTTGTTCAAGTTGCACTCAACAGCTCCAGATAAATTTTTGACTGTTGTATCAGCTTTGCTAAGAAAACGCGCAGAGGAAGAGTGATCATGATTGGGAAACGGTATATATCCTGTAGATAAAAGGAAAAAAATAAAATAGTTGTAAAAAGTATATTAACATGCAACTGATTTACATGTCTTCCAAACTAATGAATATGGCAAATGAAATTTGCACAATTAGGACATTCTGGAATAGGATCTCAGAGAAAGTGCTAATGAAAAGTAGAGAATTAAAAAAGCTGGACAACTAAAACATAATACTCCATAAAGGCAGAGGATTTATGGAAAGACCTGGAGCAATGTTATATAAACAAGCACAATAAGATCAAAACTTCCATTGAATTATTAAATCACATCAAAGTTTATTCTATACAAAGTGGTACAAACCGGAAATAAATGATTATAGCAGGACCCAACAAACCAGGGAGTGCTAATCACACATAAAAATAATAATACTCAAGCCATCAAGCCACTTGACTTGAGTGTGTGCCATGGAGGGAGAGAACTATGCCAACATTGCCTTGGCCAATGGAGCCAAGCCTCATGCCATGTCTATCGATACAACTATCCAGCCAGCACTGTGTCTGAGCCATCAAAGTTGACAGACCATGTTGGTTTTCATGGCAACAACCACAGAACATGCCCATGTGAATGCTGCAATACAAGCTCATGCCCCACCATGTTCAACCAAGGTTAATGCTTTATCTCAAGGCTTTGGAGCATCTACTATGCCGGAACTAGTCCCTTGCCAGCCTAGCAGGAAGAAGGAAAAAGAAGAAAGCCCCTTGCCATGCCCAATTCATGGAAAAGCATTGGAGCTAGGATTTCCTGGAGATGCCCTACTCCAACCATAGATGCATGGTACACACACACACACATGCAGCTGGTCGAGAGTGTTTCTCTTTTACAGACTGTACGCATGCTTCTGAAGGCACTAACCACTAGGAGAAGCTGGGTCTTGCAAAGGTCATCAAGGTTGAGAACTTCAAGTGTTTGAGGCAATAATGATATGACGGAAGGACATGTTTCTGAAGGCATTGGAATTTTATAAATTCAATGCACCAATGCATTAACCTATGGACCAAAACAATTATATATATTGATCTAACCAGAATTGCTAAATGGTGGTTAATTTTAGTCTAGTAGTGAACCTTAAGTCTGCATCTATGATTGTATTAACTTAGTCAAACTCTTTTATGTAAGGATTCCATAAAAAAAAAATAATGTTTAGGGTGTCCAATATTAATATAATAAATGCATGCATAGAAGTGAACTTAGTGCTGTAAGAAGAAGATGCATGAGAATTTGATGTAGCAGCTGCAGGTGCTTACGAAAGAAAAAGTAAATACTTGTTGAGAGCCTGAAGTTAGGAGGACAAAAAAGAAAATAGTAAGGCTCCACGAAGCACTATTAAAGACAAAAAGAATAAAGACTTTAGAGTTTAAAAGAAGAGACTCAATCCCACAGCAGACTGTCAGCCCTCATTATTAAAATCTCAACAGCAAAACATCAGAATTTTTTTTAGGGAAATACATTATAAATAAACCATTTTGCCCATTGAAGAACACAAATCTTGATAAAAAATCCAATATAAAAAAATATATATATATATTCTCATCCAGTGAATTCTACTGCTTACAGCAGCATAACTAGAGTCAAGATAAATTCAGTAAAAAATACCCACTAATGCTGCTTAAAGTGACTTGCGCTACAATTATGTGCATTTCCTCCTCCTAATTAATTAACAAATAAATAAATAATTGAGCAAAACTAATTAGGAACAATGAGTATAATACATCAGACTATAAATCAGCTGGTCCAGTAGGCAAAATTGAAAACTAGAAGCAAAACCCTGCCCTAATTTTTTTGGTAAGCAAATGATTCATGTTTCACCATTCCATTCAATTTAAGCCATAGTTTGGTCAAACCCTAGGATTCCATGTGTTCTTCTACAACCTCATCTGTTGTCATATTTGATCAACTCCTTGTGTTGCAGTGATCACTTATTCACTTGTTCAAGCATATATCCAACTCCATAAAATAATCTATAAATTGATACATAGCATTGGCAAATTCACCACTTTTTTTCCAGTACAAAATGATTAAACTTCAAAGCCATATCACCGTCCAAAACACCCTTCAAAAATTTATAATATACCAACATAAAAAAGGTAACTTCCACCACAATATTGAGTCACAAGTACTAAAATCTGAGTAAACACTGACAAGGCCACCCCAGCTCCTAGAATGCATAAACAGAAAACAGAAAACAGAAAACAAGAGAGAGGGAGGGGGAGAGAGAGAGAGAGAGGCAAATCAATTTATTTAAATCAAATCAGGAAAAATTAATCCATAGGCAGCACTCACTACATGTATTTCCTCCCACCGGGCTTAAAGGAGAAAAGTGAGCAAACACGGGTAATATTCAAGCAGACCACAAATGCTTGTTGACCATTAAATACAATCTAAAGACTCAAAGGGCAATAATAAATAAAATTAAATAATTTCAGTGTCCCTGTCTCCCTGGGATATTAACTGTCAGCATATAAGGTGGAAAATCACACAGCAAACAATTTATATATGTATATATAAAAACAACACTTCAAAATCCACAAATGATGTAATGATCCAAAAAAATTAACAACTAGGTGACATTAAAAATTAAGAGGGAAGGTAATGGAGGAACGAAAAAAATCCTTAACTTGATCTCAAAGCTAAAGCTCAAGAGTTAACTTGATACCTTCTGATATTCTTGGGGATCCACAAGGAAAATTGTCATCTATCGCATCCTTGGATGGAATATGTTCTGAAGCATTATTTGCTGCTGGTACAGCATATAACTGCACTTTCATATCAAGCTCAGTAGGTATCGAATCACTATTCAAGTTCACACCTTTAACTGAGTTATAACCCTGCCGTTCTTCATCAAGCTGGGTGATATCATCTATACGGACATTCACAGAAAAATAAAGATAAGAGCGAGCTTAGCATTCCAACAGCACAAAAACTACTCATAGCCAATTAATCAGAGTAAATATATTGGAAATACAATACAAGTTAACAGGTCTAAACAGCTTGCAGTTTCTTCTGCTTCTCCCCTACTAGAACTTTCCACCAAAAGAAAAGAAAAGAAAGTCGTCAACAGCAGCACAACTATTCCAAAAGCAAAGAGTTGTGCTAGGGACTTGAAACCCAGAAACTAGTTTGTCATGTAGCAACTGAAAAACTTCAAATAAAAATAAAACATAATCTTTCAAAAGTGAAACACGAAATGTGCTTTAAAAAATTAGGTCAAACATCACAACATTCAGTTTGAAACAGTAAGACAAAAAAGAAAAAACTTCAATCTTCCATTAGCCTTTTAGAGTAGGTTCTATCACCAAACAACATAATTAGCATCCACAAGATGATCTATTGCCTGATTTCTTGTTGCTAAAACAAACTTTGTTAGCAGGTCTGTGTATAAACAAAAATTGAAATACACTGCCATCTTTGGTGGAATTTCTTACTGCTAAGTGAACCAAATTATAGAGCACACAAAAAGTTGCTACATTCATTAATGACCAATTCATCCAAAATAAACTGCATGAATTTTCTTCTGGGCTTTTAGAGAACCACACTATCTCTACCATTGCTTCTTTTCTTGGATCTCAATTACAGTATTCCTTTTAAGATTTTAGATTCTCTTCTACAATTTGTTACCGACATACAGTACATGTAGTGTTGGGTGCACTCATTCTTTGCTTCTTTGTACATTAAGAAGCTAATTGATAACATGTCCAACCCAATCAGAGTATAAAAATCAACAGGTTGCAGAAGAAGAACCTGATACTTTGATGAATAAATGTTACATATCGAACTCTAGAAGTGACAACCAGTGTCCATTTTTACATGGTATGGCGTCTTTCACTCTTTCTTAGATGCTAAAACCCAATATTACAGCACTGAGAGTCTCATGAAAACTCCTACTAGGATCACAAAAAGATGGGTATATTAATGAATAGAAAATTAGTAAACAAAGAACAAAAAATAATGTTGGCGAAAATCTTATCTTACCATTATACTTTTATCTCTTGAGCTGTCAACTAATGTACTTCTACGGCAGTTAGACATCTACTTCCCTAGTTAGAAATAACACAATGTGCTTATGTCAACTTTCTTACTGCACATAACAACCATGCTTTCTCATAAACCCACCGGAGATAATAGGCTAAACAAGAACAAGCTAATGAAGATATCATTTACATGAGTCGGAACAAAACCTTTTTTTTTCACAACTTGCAACATTTTCTCAGTTCCTTCATTCTGTGGTTTACCAATGCATAGATTAAATATAGAGCTGCAAATGAGAAGGGCTAAGCCGAGTATTGGAGTTTCCAAGCTCTAAATGTTATTTACGAATGAGGAATGCACAAACATAAGGACTGTCACAAATTAAATAAATACACAAACAAAACAGAAATATAGAAATGTGAACTTGTTAGCAGGTACCAATAGAATTTAAAACAAGAAGAAGAATGAAATGTTCATGAAATCCACCACCATCAATTGCACTAACCTTCGACATCCATGTCAGAAAAGGAAGGTGACTGAGATAGACCTGCATCCATCAAACTATCAGGTTGCATTGAAGTACCAATTTCTGAAAGCCTCAGTGCTGAATCACTTTTATCATGCTCTTCAAGTGATTTACATGCCAAACTAGATCCCCTTTTCATCCATACAAAGTATTCATATGCAACTGCTGCTCTACTGCCTGGCTCACCACCATACAAAAATTCAAACTCCGGGTTGCCAACCTCCTTTTGACGAACCATATCTTCAAAACCAGGACCATTCTTTGCAATAGACTGACATAGATCTTCAATTCTTTGAACAATTTTTTCCTCTGCCGGCTTGGATGGGGGTGGAGGAAGATCCCATTTAGCACTTACAACTGATGATAAGCCATCATCCACAAGCAAACTCACTTCAGAGCTACTCCGACCTTCAGGATCCCTATTGCCATCACATGTAGGTGAACCCCTGGTCTGATGGGAGTCTAAGAGTTTATCAAAAGAATTTGAAGCCTTCACTTCAAAGCCAGAATGTTCACTGGAACTTGGACGATACTCGGAATGATAGGGCAAGTCAAAAGCAATAAGGGAAGGTGTAGAAGACAAAGTCCCAGAACAAGGACGGGGAGAGGAAGGCGGTGGTGGAGAAGGTGGAGGAGGTGGAGGAGAAGAGGGTGGAGGAGGCGGTGGTGGAGGGGGACCAGAGGCTGGCATATAAGAATCTTGATGTGCTGAATGTACAAAGGTTTCAAATGAAGCTGGAGTGAAGAAACTAGAAGTCGGAGGCAGAGGAGGTGGTGGGATATGTTGAGTGGCCTGCACACCACCAGGTTGTGGTGGGGGAACTTGACCTCTATACATTGTGTGTCCTTGTGAAAGAAAAGGAGGTAATACTCTAGGAGGGGGTGGGGGTTGGAACATTTCTGGGTGACTTGGGCCCCCTGGAGGCCGACCAAGAGGAGCGACCGGCGGCATATGATGTACATTGTGGGTCCATGGGGTGTTCTGATGAGAAGCTGGGTAAGAATGTGCCATTGAGGTGCTTCCATGGATGTGTGAGGGCAGAGGTGGGGGCGGAGGTAAGTAAGATTGACCTGCGTTCAACATTGCACTTGGCAGACCTTGAGCAGAAGGGCCTTGCTGAAGTGGGGCAGGTGGGGCATTCTGATATGCAGGTGGGGCAAGCTGACCTACATTAGGTGGAATAGATGGAGGACCTTGTTGAATTGTAGAAGGTTGGGGAGCTGGAGGGCCTTGCTGGAAGGGAGGAGGTGGAGGAGCCAGAGGTCGCTGTTGGAAGGAAGGCGTGGGTGCATGGGGGCCCTGCCCAAACGGAGGTGCATAATTACCCTGACCATACATCTCAAGTGGCCAGACTCAAACTAGCAAATCAATAAAATCCAATGGTAGAGTTTTGCATACAGAACCTTGTTTGCACAAAGCACATTCATCAACTAAGCCTCAGAAGAGGCCATCTGAAACATGAATAAAACTCATCAGCTTTAATCTTAAGAATATAAACATACATGTATGCATAAATGGAGAGAGAAGGATGGAAGGGGTATAAGAGATAATAACTCAAAACACATCTAGTAAATATTGGAATACAATCAACAACAAATGTCATGCTGAAACTAAACAGAACAGAGACTAGGGTTCCAAATACTTGCCATGGGCAGCAAGAACACATGTAATGAATGAACTTTGCATTTCACTAATGTGAACTCACTAGGATGATAGGCAATTCTGAAATCTAACACTAAAACCAGCAATCCTCTGCTGACCCAAACCAAGCCAAAATTCTAAACTTTCAAGTATCTGTCCCTACTATAGCCTAAACACAAACTAACAAAAACTAATTGTAAAATCATCATCAAAACAAAAGGCAATTCAAAATCAAATTCATCCCTCAATCACAAAGCAATTAAAAATAAAATTCTAATAGCAAATAGCATTACCAGGGGGAAAATAAAAAAGCAGTACAACAAATCAAATAACCTCCTCCCATTCCAATTCAATTTTTTCCTATTACATAGAATTCCACTTGTCTCGATTAGTAAAAAAAATAGCACAACATTTTTTTTACACTTCAATAGAACTCCATATAAAGAGAATAAAACTCACCCGGGTAAAATTTTATGTTGAAACAAAGAAGAAAATCATTAAATATCAAATCACAAGCAACCGAAACTTACACCGAAACTCATAAAGCAGTACACAAACTTATATGCGTGAGTGTGAAGTCGCGTTTGGCTTACCAAATCGAAAATAGAGTTGTGGAGGTTTGAAGAGAAGAAATTTCTCGAATCTGATGAAAAACCCCAGAATTTGTAGAACTTTCCAAGGGTTTTGGAGTGTGAGCGAGTGTGATGATAAGATATATATGTATATACGTATGTATTGAACCCTAATTACATAATATGAGCTCTGTTTCTTCGGATTCTGAAGTTCGAACACAGCGTAGGAATAAGGAAAAGAAGAAACTCTATGAACCCTTATGCGTCATTATTTTCGGTATCTGGATTGAGTGTCGTGGAGGTGATGGGATCCATTGTTAATGGGCTCCGGGTCGACCCAGATCCCTACACATCAACTTTTTGTTTTATGAAATGTCTATCTCTCATAATTCGATGGACTCGTTCTAAAATAAATGTCATCTCATCTCTAATTATTCAATGGACTCCATGATACTAAATGTTATTGTAAATTTGTATTAATTTTTTTTTAATGAGACAATATAATTTAATTAAAGATCTCTAATTATTCAATGGACTCCATGAAAATAAATGTTATTGTAAATTTGTATTGATTTTTTTTTTTTAATGAGACAATATTATTTAATTAAAGATCATCAACCTTCACAAAAATGTTAGAGAGAGAAAATAAATTAATAGAGAGGATCTGCAACTAAATATCCAAAATTACAAATATATATATATATAATAAAGATATTAGTCAATAGACATGCCCAATTGTGGCCTTTTAAATAAAGTATCAAAATTGTCTACTTTTAAACTAGAAAATCCCATATAATATATATATATATATATATATATATATTAACAAATAAAAGCAAACATTACAATTTATTTAGTTAACAAAGCTTTTATCGAAGTAAAAAAAAAATAAAAATACAAAATTAGATCTCAAATAAAAAATAAAAAAAATCCGAATCATTACAAAGAAATGAAGAAGAAACATCATGTATGCTTGTACAAATATATTGAAAAATGGAGATAAGTGACCTAATGAAAAAGCAGAAAGAAACATCATATATTTGTATAACTGTATTGAAAATAGAGCAAAGAAAAGTAAGAGGTCAATAAAAATAAAGTGTAGGTGTGCACGGTATTGCCCTAGTAATAAAAGTACCCCCATCCTGTACTCCTAGACTCGAATTTCCTTCCCTTATTCTTACTAATTACAAACTTTCCTTGTAAAAAAATAAAAACAAAGTGGGTGTTATTTATTTTTTAAAAACAAATAAGAGACTTAAATTGGAAAATAAGATGTGTCATTGACACATTAATGAAATTTAAATCGGTTCTTTTTCTAGATAAATTTCAATTTACTTTTTAAAAATAAAGAAAAAAATTAAAAACTACCTAAATCAAACAAACTCGCTAGTAGAGTAATAGTAAAATTAAAAAGACAAATGAAGGTTTCAATTTTTTTTTTTAAAAAAAAAAAAAGAAAAAGAAAATTGGGACAAAATGGTTTTGAAATTTCCGTTTTTTCTTATTTAACCCCCTCCCATATAGTATTATATATATATATATATATAATTGCACATGAAACCCCACATTTTGTCGTTATTTATAGATACAGACTTACAGTACAGTCCACTAAACCAATCGTACATTGATATTTAAAGGATGAAGAATCCCATTTTCGTTTCTGTCCAGATCTGATCCGAAGAGCAGCACATCACAGGTCAGAACACTCTCCTTCTCTCTCTAGATTCTTAATCTTTCTATCATTTCACCTGCTGCTACTACTTCTATTGTCTCTGTTACGATTTCTTTTCTAGCTCATTTCATTTGGATCTGCTGTAATTGATGATTTTGAACTTCCATTTCGTTATTCTTCCATTCTCTTCGCCGTTTATTAGGAACCAATAGAAATTGTGCTTAAGATCTAGTTCTTGATGTTGATTTACATGCCAAATCTTCAATGGCAATGACTTTTATCGTAGTTATATGGTATTTTTCGGTTTCATACTATAGGGTTTATTCCCATTTTCATTTTCGAATTAAGTTTAGAATGTGATAAAATCACTCTGGACTTTCAATTGTTTCCCTGATTTAAGGTTCTGGATCGGAATTGAAATAATGAGTCAGAGACTCAGAGCATGTGGAGCCATGTCCTTATCTTTTATTTATTTTAGTTAATAAAAGCCCATAAATAAATAAAAGTATACGTTGGTTCTTTCTAAAAAAAAAAATTTCATTTTTGACAATAATCGGTTCAATATATTTTACTGAGAAGGTCTATGGTTTGAGTCCATATAGCATAAATGAAATTGGAAAGTGTAAGTGAACTAAAATAAAATTCTGGATACAGGAAATGTATAATTGTTATTTTCTTATTGTTATTTGCTGTTTGTAACTAATCAGCTGGTTAAACAGTATTATTTATTGGTAGAAGCCACTCACAGGAAGCAGTTAGGGTAGATCACAAACTCATTTTGATGGATCCAATTGATATTTTTGCAATACTATAAAGAAAAATGGACCAACTTTCATTCATTATTATTTGTAGTTGTAGGCGAATTACATATGGAATTTCCTCTACTCCTGTTCTCAATGAAAGTACTGAAATCTTAAGAGCTAGAATTTAAGTGCTAATTATAAAATGAAATTTATATAATGTTTAGTAAGAAGTGAAGGTTTACCGGCTTAAAATTTACCCCATTTTAAGCCTTACTGATGCTCTTTTATTTGTTATAACCCTTTTTTTTTTCCCTGAATTATTAGTTAAGTTTTGATGTCAATATCATGGCATCAGCCTGCTTAGAAACTCCAATATAACTAAACACGTATTGAATCCAACAGTAACTCAAATAGGTCTGTAATGGTCTAAAAAGTAACATAATCTCCATTACTGATCCTCTCTGACCATGGTATTCCTAATAATACATTATTCTTTTTTACAGTTTTACTCAAACCTTATTATAGTTGTACACTGGTACATGCTTGGGTAATAGATGCTAAAAACTCTGTATAGTTCATCACTTCATCTTGTGAAACCACTTCAAGCCACGATCACTAATCATACCAATCTTGGGGTAACAACATCCAGTGATTATTTTGCTTCACATAATTCCTTTATATAGGAAATGAGATCAGTCTTTTATTTCTCACTCGTATAACCATGTGGTGTAGTTGCTTAACCCTAACGTAACACGTTGGAGTATAAATACTAAAAATATCCATTCAACGCATTTAACTTCTTTGTTAGAAAAGAAGGAAATAAATAAAAGTTCATGTATCAAGTGAATCGCATATAAAGATATTGATAAATGATAATACATACAGTGTCACTCCATAATTATATGATTGGGCAGCAGTTAAGAGCAACTAAAAAGCAACGTATATTAGTTGATCCATATCCCAATATAACTAGTCCAGTGGGAGGAACACTTGAAATGGGGACTTAAAAGAAAAAATGCAGATTCGGCTAGAACTAGGTGATGGCCAAAAGTAATTACTAAATAACAATAGAATTGATATAATTGCTATTGATGGTTCTATACTGAACAAACGAGTATCTCCTCCTGATGGAAGAAGATTCTCTTCAGAAGTAAATTTTTCTCATACGCTAGAGGCTAGAGCTCTAAAAATTATCAACATGCTCGGGTCTACCTTGTTGCTTATCTTTATGTATATTTCTCTCTAATAAAAAATTATTTGTACACCTAGTACTGTTCCTACTTATGGAGTAAAAATGGGGACAAATATCCATGTGATCTCATAGACCTCTTTTACGGATTCTAATTTGGGAATGTAAATGGGGACAAATCTTCATGGATTGAAGTTTGTTTGAGGTTTCACTTGATGGCCTTAGATAGATTATGGACTTAGATAGGCTACCTTAGAGCCGAATAGAAAAATATCGTACATGTAGCTGACCCCATGTAGTTGGGAAAGGCTTTGTTGAGTGAATAGAGTAGTGTCTTGTTACGGTTGAATAAACCAAAGCACAACCTCTCTAGGATGCGCAAATCTTGAACAGTTTTGGGGTCTGGCTGATACATAATGCAAAATGTGTGGAATGTTGATATCAAATGAAATCCAACCTGACTCTTTTCATTTTTATAAAAATTTAGTAATTCTTTTTTACCTAGAGAACAATGTTTTTTTTTTCAAGGAATAAAAGAAATGGATGTTATCATGTATTCACTGTTACCTTTTCATGTCTTTGTTGTTTTTCCATTTTATATATATATATATATATATATATATATATATCTTTTATCGTTTTCATTATAATTTTACATACATCACATGTGGTGCACATAGTTGTTTTTACGAAATCTTAGCATTGGGGTCTCTAAAGCCGATAAAAGTGCTTCTTTAGCAATATTCATTTATGGAGAACTCTCACATCCTTTATCAAGGAATGCATGGACGTGGTATGACTGGTGTTGTCCTTGATCTATTAATCGGTGTGAGAAATATTGCTGTTTGATCAAAATGTAATTCATGGAATCACGACATCGTTGTCCTTTTAGTTGTTTCTTGTGTACTACTTGTTTTGCCAAGCATGGCTGTGATCACTTCTAAGTGGTGGTTGTTTCAGGTTGAGAAAACCTTTGGCTTCTTTATTTTTTGTAGAATGCAATTGAACAATTTAGTCACCACCATGAATTGGTTATAAATGTTGTAGAATTGCAGGAAAACCGTTAAAGGGTGGATACCTTATTGGCTTAAACAATAGTTGCATCTAAATGGGGACGGGGGAGATCTGCTGAAGTTCTAGATAGATTAATCTAATAGGTTAGTTCATTTTCTGCACGTGGAATTGTTCTTTAGTTTGATGCTTACGTTTATGTTTTGGCATGAATTACCTCAACAATGTTTATGACCTTCATCAATGGCATTACTATCTAAGCACATTGCCATGTTGTGTTACATCACACTCATTCTCTGGTATGAGTGCTGATAATGACCAACTTTGCAGCTGCGAGAGGCTTCTCAAAAATTATTTTGAACAGTGCATCTAGGTGTTAGATTTACGAGGTTTCTACACGATCAGGTTATTTCCATAGCATTCTCCTATGGGCACCAATCAGGTTCTTTTGCTCTCATGGATAAGATGTGGCTTGAATTACATTATGGATACTTATCAAAAAAAAAAAAAAATTACATTATGGATAAAATATATTCCCAAAGCATGGTCGTATTAAAGGGAAAAAAGGTTCCCAAACATAATGTAATCAGTTTTATCTGAGATGAGTTGCTTATGCTCATCTGTTTACTGTTACCAAAACTGTTTCAGCTTCATAATTTTTGTTGAAGTTCTTTTGTGCTTAATATGTGTTGAGTTGATGTTCTTTTCTTTCATTGTGTTCTTCTGAAATGTCAGGATTTTGTTGGCTTTTTGTTAAGAAGTTCAAGATCAGAGATCATGGGTCGTGGAGTCAGCAGCGGTGGGGGACAGAGTTCTCTTGGCTACCTATTTGGAAATGGAGAGGCTCCAAAACCCACAACAAACAATGCTGCACCTCCTCAAAACCAGGGACAGGTCGCAAGCAATGGGCTTGCTCAAAAGCCTACTACTGCCCCTACTGCCCCTATTGCCCCTTCTGCCCCTGCACCACCAGTAGATATTACTAAGCAAATTCCAGCTGGCATCCAGGGGAATCCTGCAAACAACTATTTTCGAGCTGATGGTCAGAACAGTGGCAACTTCATCACGGTATGCCGTCTGTTACAATTATCCTATTGATGCCCTGTTAATCGGAACAGTGGTAACTTTATCACGGTATGATGTCTGTTACAATTATCCTACGGATGCCCTGTTAACATTGTAAACATGTAGGTAATAATCCCAAAAGCACCATTTTCCTATTTCATACCACATTAGGCATTTATGGTTGATACTCAAATTTCTTATAGTTACAGGAGACAATGACCAGTTTTAGATGGAGCTTAGGGAGCTTCGAAGCATATAAATTACTGCCCGAAAGAGTTAAAAGTCTAGGGATTTTGGTTCACATTAATACACTTCCTATGCAGAAAAGCTGCCTCTATTTATTTTGGAAGAATACTGAATACTAGTGAGCTCGAATTGTTCAAACAACGACTTTGATGGTTAACCAGAGCTCCTATGTTCAATTAACCTTGGAGTACTGGAGCTCCTATTTTGAAGTATGATGACTGGAGCTCTCTTCTAGATTTAAACAATATATTCTTTCTGCTGGGAAGTTAAAGAAGCATCTAAACAGAATGAAGTGCTGGATTTGTGATCCTGTAGTAAGCATTTCTTAACCACAATATACAAGATATTGTGTTCGAGAATCAGGCTGAGAAAATGGACAGCTTTCTCGTATGTGAATTTAGCATTCAGAGTATTAATATACCAAGAGTCACATTTTTCATCTTTTTTTCCTGCTGCAATCACAGCACAGCTTGATGTTGTCCTCGCATTCTGATTCTTGTAGATGCTGGTCTTCTTTACATTCAATCAGTTTCCTTAATAATCATTCTACGTATCCTTGCAGTGTTCTTTGCACTAATTTGTGTTCTATTATGAGCAAAAGCTCCCCCATTGATAATTTCTTTTTAACTTTTTTATATTCAGGATCGACCTTCAACTAAGGTCCATGCAGCCCCAGGTGGTGGATCGTCCTTGGGTTATCTGTTCGGCGGTGGCAGCAACTAGCGCCTTGTGCCATCAAAAAATGATTGGCTGCTCACTGTGACTGCGTCCCTCCAAGTTTGGGACAAACAATTTGTCCATCTTTTAGACGCTGCAGACGATGATTTGTATCATGTTATATAGTGTTTTCCGTTGTCTGAAATGTTGAGAATTGCTTAATTGTACTTGTGGTGTTTGATGAATGAAGAATCTCCAAATCTCTGGCTTACCATTTGTCAATTCAGTTAAATTTGTTTTATCCTTGTAATATATTGATTCTATTGCGTGTTAATAATTTAATGGGAATGTTTTATGATTATATGTGCTCAACATTCTATTCTACTATAAAGCAAATAGATATGGTTTAGTGTGGTTGTATGATTATATGAGCTCAACATTCTATTATGAGTGAATGGATATAGTTTTGTGTAGTCATAAAAGTTAGGTCACCAAGCATGAGAACTTGCGATCAAGCCTCAGATTGTGAAATGCTAGTTCATTCCCATCATGATCCAGTCTCTACTTTTCTATGATATGCAGTTGCTTTACTAGATTTGAAGCTGGATCCACCATGTGGCTTTCAGAATTGAAATTAAGAATTTGGATTATTGATTATGGCCATGGGCAGACCGATAACTACATAAAATCCCAATCTCATGAAACCCTACCTCAACTATAATAGTAAATCATCCAATCTCTACTCAACATCCCCAATTCTTTGAGGATTTCACATTTTGAAGATCGTAACGGGAGAGAAATTAGTTTTTATTACCATATTTTTCCCACTATTAACCTCTTCTAGTTTTACGCAACACCACCTGAGTTATTCCACGTTTTCCACTTAGAATGCTCTACTATGCGAATTTGATCGACAATAATACAACATTACGATTCCTGAACTACACAGGCCTCTCATACTACTAAAACCAAAAGCTTATTCAAATGTTATTCCAATGGTATTCCACTAAAACCAAAAGCTTATTGGAATGCTATTCCAATGGATTTTTTTTTTTTTTTTTGCTTGTACAAAATGATTCAATCTTGTAAGAAGTCGAAAAAATGCAAAGAAAACTAAGACCAACACACAAAGATAAACACAACCACCATTCCAAATCCTTGAAAATATTGGGTCCAATTCAATTTCTATGAACCTGAAGATTAACAAATCTTATTACAACACACTGAAAAGGTTTGCATTATCCATTTGTGGAAAATATATTAAAAGATAATTATTCAAAACATACAAAATAACTCAACAAAGCCTCAACCCCATTACTTGGAACCCATAAAGGACAAACCAGTTAACAGAACTCGCCCCTTGCCCTATACCTAATTGCTTGAATATGGAAACTAGAAAATGACAAGAACCTCCATCCAATCCTCCAACTATTTGCCTCGTTAACCAAAATGAGACAAATGGGATACAAATTCTACTTTTACTTTTCATTTCCCTCAACAACCACATAAAGGTAAAGCTTTTTTCATTTGTCTTAATTCTTGATCAACTAGTGTCTGTAAATTTTTAACATTTCTTTTAGTAATCAGAGAACCAACTGTTTTCTTCTATCATTTCTTTTCCTTTTCCTTTTCTTTCTCTCAACCAAACCAAAATGAAAAGAACCGGAATCACCCTAGTCTGATGCGAATGCTGCAAGAGGTTGTCTACATGGTTGAAAGAGCTAATGACGCACAATGGGAATGCCAGAGCACATTAAGGGGTTCCAAATTCTATAACATTGATAATTCCAGAGCAACTTCTAGAGATTCCTTTGCTGAAAAGAGAGGAAACCCATATCGGTTAGTCAAGTCCACCAGTACTAGGAAGACATCCAGGATAGTTATCGCTTCTAATGAGCAACTCTGTTCTTGCTGATCTCAGTCTGTGATGCGGTTGAATCTGAAGCAGTTACTATATTGTAATTCTTACAAGAGCATTACATTTAATTACAGTCTATCATAATTGAAAATTGATATTGCTGAAACAGAAAGGGGGATATGAGTAGGTGGCAAATCCAACCAGTTTGGAAAAACAAATTTTGTAATCACCTGTCAACTGCATCTACGATCACCACGCAACGAAAAAATGTACAAATGGCTGTCATTGCTATTTGAGATATGTCCAAAGTCACCTGAAAATTGATTTCATCGCTGTTCTCCTTTACACTGACTGTGGTGGATGATTTTCTATCAAGAGAATGCATTCTTCATTGTTCAATGCTCTACCATCTGCTATCATAAAGAAAAGCAACCAACTTCATCAGAACATCCCCATATACATTCACACAATCATGTGTCATTTAATTGTAGTAGAAAAAACAATAATACTAGACGGAATCCAGGAACTGCATGGAATGATATACATATTTAAATCTGTCATCATTGGCATTCACCTTCAATGTGCATTCCTGTATCCTGAGCACCTCTATATTCTAAATTATTTATTTAATCCATTATGCTAAAGCAGAGCATGCTGAAAAGTATTGAAGTACCAATTCACATTACCAGATACAAGTTGGTATGGCAGCAGCAGAATAAATCCAAATTTATAGCCCAATGTTATATGAGCTGTCTCAAATATTGAAACACTACCTTGATCTTGCTGATAGCCTAATACCAATATATATAGTTAAATTCACTCAAAGCTAGCGTGACAAAATAATCCCAAGCAACACCCTAAAGTTAATTCTAGTGATCAACAGTTGGGTTACATTGCCCCAAAGATAACAGAAGGCAAATTGAAACAGGAGATCATGATAGTATATCATGAAGATTTTCATGATATTTATCATTTCTCATTATTTTAACTAAAAATTTTGTGAAATTTTCAGAGCACTATTTCTGTATACCATAGCATATTAGGGGTTACCACCAATACTTGTGACCATGAACCAGTCAGAAGACCTCACATTGGTCTCATCCCCATCTTCAGTTCCAAAGACACCATATCTGGTAATGTGACAAGTCAAAATTTTTAAGAGGCAAGGATAAACTAGAACAGGGAGAATACAAAACTTTATGTGATGCATGCGACACATTTGTTAATGCATTGTTGCTTAGAATTCCTAGTGCATTTGTGTGGACTAAAAGAACTTGCAAATGATGAATATAAGGACGCTAATCACAAGAAGTACTCATGATAAGGTAAGTAAATAACGTGTGTCCAAGTGCTAAGGGCAAGTTCAGATAACCTACAAAATCAACTGTCTCATTTGTGTTTGACATATAATTTGAAAATGGATTTGTTTCTTCAACCTTCGAAACGAGTCTGAACGTTTTACAGATGAATGGTCAAGTTAGGATGACACTAGGTCACATGGTTTCAGTTTTCATAATCATTTGCAGTGATGCCCTGAAATTGGATTTGTGCATTGAATACAATCAAAACAGAACTGAGCAATAGAAAACATCATTTCAACATCCAAATGTGCCCTAAAAAGATCAAAATCAAATCATTTCTCAAAATGTTTTCGAATGCTGAAGATTGTATTTACTAAACCAACCAAGCCAATTTCTGTAATGAATATTATTGTCAGGAAATATTGCATCAATCAAGGACAACTTCCGAAGATGTCAAATATCCTTTTAGATCCAATCAAAATTTGACATCCCAAGAATCCAAAAAGTACTGTCAGGATATATTCCATCAATCAAGGACAACTTTCGAAGATGCCAAATACCTTGTAGATCCAATTGAAATTTGACATCCCAAGAATCCAAAAATTACTTTCACCATGTAAAAAACAAATGTAGGTATGATCCTGAAGCAACATTTCAAGATCAAAGAGCTGACTCACCAGTTTAATTCTTTGAGTAAGCAACGGTGCAGTGAGAACGAGTGTAAAACATAGGGTACGTAATTGCACGCATAAGCTTATGGATATAAACATAAGCCATAACCAAATATAGAAGTGACTCGTGCTTCTTTCATTTGTACCTTGGTTTGGGGGCAAAGTGACACAGTCCTCGGCTGAAGTAGGTATATTCTCTTTAGGGACTTCAGTGTTGGAGTTTGGCACATCACTTGACTCATTACCTTCAAATTCTAAATTAGGTGCCACGGCCGGTTTTATGTTTCCAGAGACCCGCTGAAAAATACAAAGTAAAAACATGATTTCAAGGATTCCTCATGGCATAGACCCCAATTGCAAATGAAAAAGCATTTTTTATTTTTTGTAAAGAGGTATCACAGATTGAACATGATTGACTCATTCGAATGACATACTGAACAAGAATTATGACCAGGAGAAAAATAAGGGACTCCAGGTCGTTAAAAAAAATTCCAGTAGGACTATCCTGCTATTGGTCCACCAATTCAAGAATTAAAGAATTACTATTAGGCTGCACATGGTGCATGAGAAATTGCCAAACAGACAATACGTGGGGATTTATAGTAAAGTTCAGCTGCAGAAAAATAATTAATTCTCACTTCCCAACAGTTGAAGGTAGGACGAAAATAGGAACGGAAAACCAAAACAGAAAGCGATCACAAATAGATAACACAGATAAAAAAAAAAATGCCCCCAAGTTGAAATGGCTGTGTCTCAGATACTTTCATCACATGTCATGGGACAAGTGGCAAGAATGTCATTACATAAGCAGCGACAAGAGAGCCCATATCCATGAATCAATTTTGTTGCCCAAGTGTGCTTGAGGATTGTTTAGCCTTCACTCTTGAAAAATTAGGGTAAGCCAAAAACTTGAAATGCAAATGGTAACTGTAAGAACTGGCAAAAGAAGTGAACAAATTGAGAACATTTCAACTGTTACATCCACCTTCCCCCCCCCCCCCCCCCCCCCCCCCCCCCCCCTCTCTCAAAAAAAAAAAAAAAAACTACCCACCAATTCGGGAGCATGAAAGATGTTGCTTCTCCAAACCGCTGTGACAGGACAGAGTTTTGGCCATCCACTGTATGGATCGACAAATTTCTGCCCATTATCTAATCAGAAGAGAGATGCTAGCATTACTTATCAAAAAAATAAAAATAAAAAGAGAGATGCTAGCACTAAATTTCTTTCAACAATGATGCCCCTATTATCTTCTTGGTATGCGCATACGTATTCCAATAAACTATTTTTACTACCATAACTTAGTTAATTGAAACAAGAAGGATTGGCTCCAAGCTTCCTTGGACAATAATGTCCCTAAATCTCTTTTAAGAGACACATAGATCCTGTATTACTACTGTCATACAAAAAAAAACTTGATGTATACTACATTTGGATTATACAAACCTGGGATTTGTTCTAGGCTTTTGTTTTCACACACTTGTTGGCCCAAATTTAGAGATAATTTCAGTAACAAGTTTTTCTTAGACTAAACCTTGCATGCCAAACATCGAATTTTCATCTTGGGATATTTTTCCTCCCATGGGATTTAGCTAATATGGGTTTCTTTGAAATCACTGTATATGCCATCAACTGATTATCACACAATGAAATAATTAAACCTTTTATATCACCATGATGTAGTTTTTGTAAAGTACAGCAACACTGAAATGTCTTTGACACCACCCCACCCTAAAAATAATAACGAATAAAAAAGAAATCCCATCCCTCTTTGTTTCTTACTTTTGTTTCACTCCTTTACTCTCACCAAACATAAGCCAGGTGATGATGGAAGAATAAAAATGAACATGCTGGACTTTTCATTCATTGAGTCTCGAGACAGAAATTCTAATATCCATGACATTAATTTTCTTTCTTTTTCGCTTCAATTTTCAAGATAGTAGTTTAGGCATTATTAGAAGTAATTAAATGGTATAGACGGAATTCAACATAAATTGCATCATAACTGAGTGGCTTAGAGTTCCTACATTGTGGATTTGATAATAAATTATTCCTTTTGGGTTGCTTTCCCTGAATCCTTAGGCAGAGACAAAATTTTATGATGCTATTACATGGAATTTTGACGCTAATTCTCATATTATTGGTTAATATATGCATGGATTGACTTATTTGACCTTATAATAAAATTATATTCTTCATGTAATTATATCTTGTTTACATCAAAATTTTGACACCTCATCACTGAATGTAACCCTATGATCAGATGCAGATCCAAAAAGTTCGACTCTAATTTGGAGTAATTTCCTTACTAACTCTACCGTGCTAATTTTGGTCCCCCTTCCCTTAGCATTACCTTCAAGGCTTCAATGTGGACCATGTCACTCTTCTCCTAACTGGTGCACTAAGTGGTCTTCCTTGCACATGTCCAAACCATCTTAATGGTACCGCAATAATGTTAATAATTCACTATTCAAAATAGTTAGTGTCTTATGAAATTTAATAGAATTGCATTGGTAATTTGGTAGTAATCAAAAAGGATACAGATTCAAGCATGTCTTCCAGAAACAAGTACTATCATTAGAAAGAAAGAATATATTGTATACAAAGTCCCATGGCCATGTTTGGATTTGACATGTTCTTTGCATTGGTGTGGGGAGGTGTATTGATCATGGCACACACATTTTCTTAAAAGAATTCTGCGCACCACAGTTACTTTTTCAAGCCCCCTACATGGTCCACAGTGTTCTTCTTTCTCATATCACATAATATTTCAACTTTTACAATTTTTATTTATCTATGGATGGCTACTAAGCACCTTGTAAAGGAGACACTACCATCATCTTGACCACGGGCACAAGTCAACCTCAGACTATGAAACTAATGACATCTTCAATTAGGCTCATTCAGCATTGGGTCAGAACTGCTCCCACTGGCTTAGATTACCAGGTGATATTGCATTCACATTCATCTTTATTCTCAACTACAAAGGAAAAATGTTGCTAATAAGGAAAGAGGTTTTTACTAATGAGGAATTTTGGTGGTAAGATGACGACGAGGATTATGTTGCTGATGAGGCCCTCAAGCACAAATCCATACGCACATCTGGATAACAGTTTTCTTTGTTGTTGTAACAAATTTGCTAACTAGGAGATATTCAAGACTCTTTAAACACTCAATTAATTCTGCCAGACGTGGGCAGTCTCCCCGCATTTGCTGACAAAATAAAAAGAGCCGATGTTAACCCCGCCTATGCAGGGTGCTAGAATGTGTGGGATGGACTAAAACCCAACCTTCGCATTATTTTGAACAAAATGTTTTGATTCAAACTTGTTTTCACATGTTTGGCAACCCAAAGCTTTTATCATTATATCAAGAAATAATCCCAATTATGCCATGGCCCAGTATTTGTCTGACCAATACAGGTGCTAACAGAGGTAAACTGGATATGAACCGAACTTTTCAACTTATTTTCATAAAGTGGATGCCTTACACTTGACCTCCGTTTTCAATTTCACTTTGATGCATGAAATTTTACTTGAGATCTATGTCTATGGTTTTATTGACTGCTATAAGAGGTGAACTGGATATAAACCTAACTTTTCAACTTATTTTCATGAAGTGGATGCCCTTACACTTGAACTCCGTTTTCAATTTCATTTTGATGCATGAAATTTTACTTGGGATCTATGTCTATGGTTTAATTGACTATTTATTTGTAGTGTTTTGTTTTTGATAGGATACAACTGCATGTCACTTGAACTTCGGTATATGTATTGGGTGCAGATGTGTATTTAAGTGTCAAACCACCCTAAAATTTCAAATGTTAGGTAGGATAGATGAAAATCCTTATAAAAGTTAAGTACAATTAGATAGACACTTATCAAAAAGTACAAATAGATAAGACACATTCTACACATTTATATACATTATATATTATATATTTGTTCCAATTTACAAGGAGAGAGAGAGCAAGAATGGTGATTTTACTTGTTCCAACTCTTGCTTTCACTCTCCTGTGTTTCAGGCACTTGAGTTTTAACCGCAAAGGAATCGCAAAATCCATAGTGTTTTAAAGTTGAGTAAAGGGCAACATATGCACTGCAGGTCTCCAAAGCACACAGTCACTGGAATATAAAACTAAATAAAAAAGGTGAACCCAATGCAAGGCAACAAGAGGCTCCCGTCATTGCGGGGTCTAGGGAGGGTCAGATGTACGCAGCCTTACCTCCGCATACGGAGAAGCTGTTTCCTTGTTTTGAACCCATTACAGTTGTGCCAAGGTTCGCCCTCCAAGTCACAATGGAATATAAAACTAAATATTACTTATTATTTGCCCTTTTTGGGATACTCCACAAGTAAAAAGATGAGCAAAAAGTAAGTAAATAAGAGATAATTTCTTGCAAAATCTAAGAAAATTTTAGTACTAGAGAACAAAAAATTATAATTTTTTTCCATCTGAAAAGAGGGAAGTTAGATATAACCTCATTGAGGTGAGCAACATCAGAGGTTGCTGGATTGTTCGTATCAGAAGCAACAGCAGTTTCCATCTCTCCATGAACCCCACCTGCCTGCCTATCGTCCATTTTATCCTGCTTGAGGGGTCTAGCAGTTTCTGATTTAGATTTGCGGTCATCATTCAGATTAATACCACCAACTTCCACAGCTCCCTTTTTACTGATTTGAGAAAAACTATAATCATTTGAATCAGAAGTTCCATGAAATATGGGTTAATGACAACTGATAAAGTTTATAACCAAGAATAAGATATATGTATATATGTAAAACCATATGTTCTCACCTAATACAATTATCATCGGCCGAGTGGCTAAAGCTCGGCTTGTTCGAAAATAATACTCCGCGGAGAGGCTTCCCATCAATAACAGTCTCAATAGAATAGACATCTGGGAAGCTTTTGATTACCTTGGCTTGAAATGTCCTCTTCCCTGGAGGAGGCTGGTATTCATTCAAATAAACATTATGTCTGCCTGCATTTTGAACCACTGGTCTTAGACGAGCAGCTAATATCATTCCAAATCCAAAATTTACCAATAACTAATAAATAACCATTCGATGGCAGGTAGGAAGAAGATTTATGTTGCAGATTGACTGTCAGAACTCTACCACAACTTGGTACTTCGGTCAGCTCTTGCACAAAATGGGGCCTTAAACTACTAGTTTCACGCAAACCTGATTTCCTATTCAACACCAAGTTTTGATCAAGAAACCCATCCCTGGTAGAGTCTCACTTAGTCAACCAAAAAATTCTCTACAAGTGAAAATGTACAAGAAAAACGTAAGCTATGGACAATTCTTTCCTTATCGACACCCACCTTAAACACAATCTATTCAAATCATCACACAGACTACATCAAATGCTCGTATTTACATACTAAGAAAGAGGAAGACGCATGTATCGCTAAAACAAAACCTTAATTCATTTCCCAATACTGAAACTACAACAACTTGTACACTCTGTTTCTAAACGTAAAGCAGTCATAATGACATATTTCAATGTCTGGCACTTTAATGCATTCAGATTCATGCCCTTTTCAACTTAATATCCTTTACATTTCCATAGCAAAATGAATACTATACAACTCCTCCTGAGATTGCATAATCAACCTCGTTAATAAAGTATGAGATACTTACCACTGACTCTAAGAAGCAATTAATATGGAAATACTATCATTCTTCTAATACATTCTCTCTTCCAGGCTTATGATGCACCTCTCAAGAACCCCAAAAAATCTCTCAAGGCCCCTAACAAGACTGCCCAAAAAAAAGCATTTAACCAAAATAAACATTAACTACGCAATTGGAAGATCTTTGCCTTTAAAGACAGGATCCTTTGTCTCACCCAAATGGTCCAAAAGAGAGAATAGTGGTTCCTCTAGAAACCTCTTTATTAACCCCAATTCTGTCTAACCCACCATCCAAAAGAGCAATTCATGATGTGATCTTTGACTTGTCAGATTAGTCAAATGTGGTCTTGGTAGTTTTCTTTCATTGTTGTGACATTATCATGTATTCTCGGACAAATTTTTTAAAATTTTTTTTTTTTTTTTGGCTATAGGGAATCCAAAAATTCATCATTGACCTTGAACTTCAGTAAGAAACGTCATTATTTTAGTTTCAGCATAAAATGGGTTAAACGTCACAAATATTGGTTATTTAAAAAATAATAATAATAAATAGGTTTAATTTATTTTTCTCATTTATTTTTTCTGGCATATGTATCAAACAATCCAAAACTATAATAGGCCTATCTTAACAGGTGTTTTAGGAGTTTTCAAGTGATCAAACTTTGAATTTTAAATAAAAGGGAAGCCCAACACACGAGACTCCAGTCATTGCGGAATCTGGGGAGGATCAGATTTAATCAACCTTACCATGCGGAGAGGTTGTTTCTAGTCTGTAAATGTAAAGATAAAAAAATAATAAATAAATAAGATAATTCTAAACAAAAGTTCAGTTTTACTTCAAATAGAGTTAGCAACCACATTTTCAAATTTTGGCCCAACTCAATCAAGTCGACTCAAACTCGGCCCAACTCAAATCCGAGTCTAGCAAGGCCGAAATTCGGCCTGACAATCTGACACAACCATTACAGCTGAATCTCAGCCTGACTCGGCTGATTACGACCGAGACAGTCGTGATTCAGGAAATCACCATTGTCTCAGCCAAGACATGGCTTGACTTGGTCTTACTCGGCTGATTGGCAAATCTCGGCTAGTCTGGACCTGAAAAAATCCTATTTTTTGCTTCCCTCTCTCATTTGCTCCAAATCTTAAGACCAAAATAGAGAGAAAATTAAGCCCTTACCCTACAAAAAATTAGATTTACAAATCAAGACACGAAAAACTCAAGATTTACTAGTACATTCTAAGTGTCCCTTAATTGGGAAGTTTTAAAACTTTAAACTACTGATATATGTGTGTAATATAAAGTAATAATCATACTTCATATTATGTGTATACTAGTTTACATCTGTTTTGCATAAAAAAGTTAACAAAAAGTGACTTAAAGAATCAAAAAATTAATAAAATTCATTGAGAAATATAATATTTATATATATGATTTCTGTGTCACAACTAGATATACTAATTTCCAAATTTGCAAGTTATTAGTGTGTATGTTTTGGTGAATATTACACACACACACACACCAAAAAAAAAAATTGTTGATTTAATATGCAGTTAGGGCCGTAAATTTAGTGCAAAGTATGAACTATTACACCGATATTACTGGCGACGCCTTAATAATTTAATTAATAGGTCATTCCTCATAAAAAATCACATTTGAATATCCAACAAAATCCATTTAAAATCATTAAAAACATGACTTTATTGAATTATGGAGTTAAAACATGAGTATGACTTCATTTTGATCAGACTTCTAAGTGTTGAAAATTTCCACAACCGTGACAATCAATAACCATAACGTAACCCTCGTTAAAGCCCGAGACCACTACAATGTGATACCCACAATGAAACCCCCATTACAGCCCAAGACTGCGACTGCATTTTATAACCTTGTTACCAACTGTATAAAGAATTACCCCAACTCTCCTTAATATCAACTTTTAGATTATGTAAAAAGTTAAATGAATGGAAAAATGCAATAAAAAGAACAAGTTGGAAGGATCTTTAATGCTATCAAAGTAGTTAAATAGAAATCCCAGAAAATAAATGGTGTGCAGTCAACTTCGATTACAAAACCATTGTAGAACAATGGTGCAAGGGAGGAACAGTGACACTTCAATATAAAATAGTAGTTCTTACTTTCTTGAATATAACTTGGCACATGCATGGGTTGGTAAATATCAGCATTTGGATCAAATCTGACCAGAGCCTTATCACAAACAGAAGAAAGAGCTTGTTGCTCTTGGCACTTTAACTTTAACTGCTTCCTCAAAGATAATTTCTCTAGCCTTCGCTCATCTCGCTCTTCCCTTGCAAGACCTAATGTTGTACGTAAAACATGATATCATAAAATTATAGCTTACTTTATAATAAATTTTAAGAAAGTTCAGGACCAGATAAATACTTAGAAACAACTAAGAAATTTAATTTGGATATGGTGAAAAGGTGTGAGCAAACCTGTGTGCAAGTAAAACATGTCATCTAATGCATCGAGATTTTTATTGCAACCACCTGTGAATACAAGAACACCGCCCTTCTCTGGATCCAAACTGTCCCCAGCCATAGAAAATCTGGCTGAAGGCCCCTCGCCAGTAGCCATCACCTTGGTCCATAAACCAGTATCTGAATGATTAACAGGACAGAAGTGAATGTTATACTATCAAGTATGAACTAGTCATTCAGAATAAACAAGCAGCTTTAATTAAAGTGACCAGAGAGCAAAGGATAGAGACTATCAAGATAGCAGCATAAACAAAGTCCATCACACAAATTGTTTGAATATATCTTTCAATGGTCTTGTGATTCTCACCAAAAAGGCCTAAAATAATTGTCAACTAAGTTATTGATCCCAAATTCTGACCTGTCAAGTTCTTTCTTGTGTACTGCACCATAGAAAACAATGTGGCCAATTAAGGTGTTCAAAATCATTCATGATTCATAATTAACCAACGAAAACTTGGAGAAAACCCAATTGCATGTATGGCATTTGCCTTAATCCCTTAGATGTTTTCCCATCCACAGTACACCTTCGATTTCCCGATATACAGAAACTCTTACAGAGCAGCATCAAAACATTTTTTGTAAGGGATGAAAGATCAATTAATAGTTTCGTACGCATAAAAAAAATATATTCTAATGTGATTACATACCAATATCAAGCATATAAATGTCATCATAAAGGTTCTGCTCATCAGTGAAACCCCCGAAGACAAAAAAGTTCTTGCCCAAGGCAACAGTTGTATGCCCAGCTCGAGGTGGCAGCAGCTCGCCTGAAGTGTTCAGCTTGCTCCAAATAAGGGTATCTATTAAATCAGGTATTGTTATGATGAAGCATATACCGGATATAATTAATATAGTTCTCATGCTATGCACAGTTCATTCAAGATTAGACCTGTCAATGGATCGGATTCTGATCCGAATCCGATCCGAATCCGATCCGAATAGTCGGATATGGATTGAATAAAAAATCCGATAACCCGTTTATGATCCGAATCCGATAACCTGTTAACTTAACAAATCGGATTTGGATTTTACCGATCCGATCCGAATTAAAATTATATATATATATATATAAGAGTCTAGCCCAAAACCCATCTCCAAGCCCACTTCTTATTCCCAATCCCAAGCCCAAGCCCATTCCTCCTTTAATCTATCTAAACCCTAACATATCACACAACAACATTCTGTTCTCTCACTCACACTACCCCTGCCGCAAAACAACCTCCCCAAACACTCCCACATAGCAGAGCTGCAACACAAATCAGAGAACGAGGATCGGCAACCGCTGCAAAATATTACTACTCTCAGGTAAGTGTTCTTCCTTTCTCTCTCGTCCGATCTCACTTCTCTCCTCTTCATATTATATATATATTTTTTTAAAGTTGAAAACGGAGAGGTATTTTGAAATACCTCAAAGTAACCTGGGGTGTAAATTTTCCCTTCTATGTGTACCAGATTCGAGCCTTGCCTGTGGTTTAAGAGTTAAGCCCTAAACCAAAAGGCTACAAGCATAGAGCAGTGCGTACTAGTGTGAGATTTAACATTGAAATTGATATCCAAACCGAGCTCTTTCCAGTTAACTCCATCTTAATCATTATATATATATATATATATATATATATATTATATTGAATTACACCGATTCGTATTTGTGATGTTGAAATTTCGTACCATATTACCTGTATTGTTTACGAATCGAACTTGATGGACATTATTCAATTTTTTGGTTTCTAGGTTTACAAGATGCCCTAATCTGTTGTTTGTTTGTTGATTTGTGCAAGTTACATTATCGGATCGGACTATCGGATCGGACATCCGATAATCAAACAAATCGGATACGGATTGACTCAATAAAAATCCATCGGATTATCGGACCGGACCGGATCACTCATTATGCTTATCGGATTCGGATCGGATTGACCCTGATCCGGTCCAAATCCGATCCGTTGACAGGTCTATTCAAGATCAACTAATAGTTTCTATCATATATCGGCATTCAATATGAGCACTGCGATAAAAACTTGGTACCTGCATCAAGGATGTGGACATCAGAAAGATAGTAATTGTATGTGTCTTCACCACCAATTACAACAATTTTGCTTTTCCAAGATGAGCAAGTATGGCTATCACGCTTAGCAGGTGGACTTCCTGATGTCACAGCACGTTTCCATACAAATGTTTCTGCCAACAAGGAGAAAGTAATTAATAGCAATTATTTGTCACTCAGCTATCTGAAATAGGAGAATTACTGAGCTGGGGTCAAGTGTCTTCTGTAACTTATGCTTTAAGTTTTACCAGGTTTACTCAAAGCATAAAACCCAACATTAGTGCATACATTTTGTTCCACGATAACTATTAATGGAAAATGTTAGCTCTGGGTGGGAAAAAAAATACACAGAAGTCCTAACTTTCATTTTATAAGGCCATCAAGTCCAATCAATGAACAAGGATATGGTAGGTTTGTTCATTGTCAAGTCCTATCAAATGAAAAGCAGAACTTCTTTGTAATTTTTCCAAAAAAAAAAAAGGGATTCTGGTACAGTTTGTGATAAGTGGCTCTATGACCAGCCACATGTGGAAGAAGTTCTTACCCGTATTCAAAATGTAAAGATCGTCATAATGTTCTTCGTCATAATTATTCGAAGATTTTCCGCATCCACCGAATATGAAAAGTCGTTTTCCAATAAGCGCTGCACTGTGGCCTTCCCGTGCCTCTGGTCCATCGCCTCTTAAACTTGGTGAGATCCATGTATTTGACGCTATGCATATATTAAAAAAATTAGCGAATATATGTGTAATGAGACATTGTAAAACAAACAAATGGATATAAATTGATATAATTCCTCGATGTTCTTGGTATCTTCAAACCACAGAAGCAAGCAAATGAAGTTTTTATCCCTTAGCACAACATAACATCAAGTATAGCTATAAACAGAAGACTGCAGTTCCCGGGTTGAACGGATCAATCGTTTCCACACCAAATGGTTTGTGGCAGAACAACCAAAAACAAAAACATAGAGAAAATTGTGGCTTGTTGCTTGTAAAATTTGTAGGAATGGGACACGATGCTAACGCATATTAATAATGTAAATCCCTCAAATAACTTAATTCATAGACCCCTCCTATTTTCTGATACTTTAGAGGACAACTATAGCTTCCAAATCTAAGGCCTTGTAAAACCCAGCATTGAAGTTGATGGTTCCATACTTGGTCAGTCCCGTTGGTGCAAGATTGAAATACTGCTTAGTACACTAACATAAAATGGAAACAGAACATATAAAAATATTTACTAAACTTTCTTTCAATTTCTTCCACCATTCTACGTCACTCAAATAATATCACCATAGCTTACTAAAACAAATTATTTGATTACATATATGAATTGAATTAGCAAACAAAGAAACGTGAAGGAGAAAAATAACTCACTGGTGTCTAGAATATGCAAATCCTTAAGTGGGTTCATTCCATCTGTACCCCCAAACACAAACAGATTGTCTCCAACAGCAGAACAACTGTGGCTGTCTCTCGGTGTTGGTGGTGTGCCTTTCATTATCGGCTCACTCCAGGTCCGCTTCACTGCATACCAACGATGTATTAATTGACAAGTCTGAACAACTCAAGAACACCCCCCAAATAAAAATGCAACCAGCCCAATGCATATATAAAAATTAAAAAGAGAGAGAGCATCAAATCCATAAACTTGCATTACATCAGTGCCAACAAGAAAAATCCAGCATTTCAAAAACCCATATAGGAATTAATTCTGAACCAATTAAAATTCAAGTAATGATTCAAAAACCGTAATAAACTGTAATATTAACAACAAAATTCTATTAATCTCACTATTAAAACTAATAAACCACTAACGGGCTAGTAGCCTAGCGGTATTGACCTCTTACTTTCCAAAGGGACGTCAGGGGTTCAAGCCTCAGAAGAGACGTGTGTGTGTGTGTGTGTGTGTGTGTGTGTGTGTGTGTGTGAGAGAGAGAGAGAGAGAGTACCAACTAGGAAAAAAAAAAAAAAAAAACCCTAGAAAAGCAAGTTCAACAACATTCATCAATATCAGTATTAAACAAACAATCTCAAACGCATGCATTACATTGGTGCCCACAAGAAAATTTCAGCATTTCAAAAACCCATATAAGGCATTGATTCTGAACCAGAATAGATTCGAGTAATAATTCAAAAAGTGTATTATTAACGACAAAATACTATTAACTTCACTAATAAAACTAATAAACCCTAGAAAAACAAGTTCAACAGCATTCATCAATACTAAACAATCTGATAAGCATGCATTACATCGGTGCCAACAAGAAAAATCCAGCATTTCGAAAACTCATATTAGGCATTGATTCTGAACCAGAATAGATTGGAGTAATAATTCAAAAACTGCAATATTAACAGCAAAATCCTATTAATCTCAGTAATAAAACTAATAAACCCTAGAAAAACAAGTTCAACAACATTCATCAATATCAGTATTAAACAGGCAATCACAACACCAAGGCTTCAATAACAATCTGTGAGCAAGATTGTTTGTATACATTCAACATTGTTTTGAAATGACAACAAAGGACACCAAAAATGTGATGAATTTATTGAAGACCCACCAGTGTCGAAGACATGTACTTGGTTTGTCTGACAGTTATCTTTGCCATAACCCCCAAAAACGTAGAGAAGCTTGCCTCCTCCAACGGAGTTGCAGGTGTGCCCCCACCTCTTACCGGGCCCACAAACCTCTTGACCTCCTTCGACCTGTCTGCTCTGTATCTGCAACTTTTCCCACCTCATTTTTAAGATTCAAGAAAACCCAGAATCGGATAAAGGTGACAATTTTCCAAGAAAAGAAAATCGGGGAAATAGAGAGAAAGAGATGATATGTACTGTTGTTTTTCTAATTTGAAAATGGATTTGATTTGGGTTTAAGGTGTTTGATTTGATTAAGTTCATGCAAAAAAAAAGAGAAACGGCCATTAATAACAAGTGTCAGAGTGGGAATGGAATAGAGATTGCAGGGCTAGAGGGTAATTTGGGAAATATAAAAATAGGAGAGGATAGAGAGAGTCTTTGAATTGTGCTCATGTCAGCAACTGCACACGTGGAGCAAGATGGGCTGCTTTGATGTAGGGGCCCAATACTAAGTTGTGAGTTTAAAATTTTCTAAGCCGCTGATTATCAGAACCTGACTATATATATATAGGCTTATATATAGCATATATGACTGTGTGTTGGTGTGTGTAATCTGTAGTGAAATTTATGGATCATTGGATGCCAACTTTGTTCTGGGTCAGTTTTAATGAAGGCTGCAGAGGTGTGGTCAGTCAGTAGAAAAATAAATATGGTCATTAAAGAACATAATAAAAGAAAAAGAAAAGAAAAGAAAAAAAATAGAGTGAGAGTGTTTGGATTGAGGAGCAATCATATCTCAAGTGCACATTTGGTTCAATTTTTTTAGTTTTAGTTTTAGTTTTAGTTTTGCACTTAAAATTTTGAAAATGTATCTGGCACAAAGTGTTGAATTTATTAAGATTATTTTGTGAAAAAAAAAAAAAAAAAAAAAAAAATTATACTAAATGGGTAAATTTGGCCTCCAAAGGAGAAGTTAGGATTGGAGTCGGTAAAACAAACGCACAAAAACGTTGGCTTCCAAAGAAGAAGTTAGATTGGAGTCTGACATGTGTGAGTTTGTTTTACCATTAAAAAAATAAAAAATAAAAACAAATAAACAAAAACTTTCCTTCAAATCCTAGTGTTAAAATAGTGACAAGTGGTTGATTATTTATCTTTTAGGTGGTTTTATTTTGTTGATACATCAGTATTAAACTTCAATAGGAGTATTGTTCTTTCTCTAATGATACGTTTGAATAAGGTAGATTTGAATGGTTAGGAAGTAAAGGTGGCAAAGTTTGACACGATCTATCAATACAATTTGAATACGACACAAATTAAACAAATTTAGTTAATCATGTCGTATTTGGGTTAAAGTTGTTCAACCCGTGTAATATATTTATACCCGTTTAACTACTATAAATGTTATAAATAAATTAATATTTAGGTTACAAAATAATTATCTAAACTGGTGTCTTATAATTTACTTTTTTTGTAGGCCAATGAGTATTTAGTAATTTTGGTGGATTGAAATTTATATTTTTCTAATATTTATTATTTGATTGAGTATTATTAATAATTTAAATAATATAATTTTTTGTTTTACTAAATTGATCATTAAACAGTTACATGTGTAACCCATTAAATAAACAGTTCGGATTAGCATTGAGGGTTCCTAATACGAATATTAAACGGGTTGTGTTCGAGTTAAGGTATTTAGTAAAATACGTAAAATACCCTTATGTCGACATGCAAGGGCGGATGTAGGGGTAGACTTGAGCCCATCCAAAAAATATATATATACTATATTAATTTTAGCCCAATAAAAAATATATATATATTAATAGTATTAGCCCACCAAAAAATTGGCCCACTCAATCAAACCCAAGTCAACTTAGTCACCATACTAAAATAAAGGCCCAAGCCAAATAAGTCCAGAGCCGGCCTTGACCCAATCATTTCAGACTCCTCAATCGCCTCCATCTCTATTCTCGATCTCAACTCTGAACTTGATACATTTTATTTCAGCAAAACAAATATATATTTTTTATTTCTATAACTTCTATTTCTGTTTTTTTTTTCTTTTTCGGTCAATTATGTCTACATGAAAATTTGAATATGGGCATGAAAAAAAAAAAAAAAAAAAAAAAAAAAAGAATCTGAATTTGATTGAATTGGATCAGAAATATGCAGCGATTGAATCTGAAACAATTTTTATCAACATGCCAAGCTTTTTGAGGATGGAAATCTTTTCAGAACTAAAAAATAAATCATAACAAGAACTTTGACAAGCAAAAGTACTTAATATAGGGTAAAGCTCTAAAGTTTCTTATTGAAAATTAAAATACTTACAAAAAGCATGCTTTTGAGTGAATTCCATAGTGTTGGAAGGGCTTGCCATGAACTACCTCACACTCTGCTTCCACTAGTAGATTCTCAAATAGGATTAGTGAATTGGTCAAAAGAAGAGATAGGGATAGGGTACTGAGTGGTGAATTGTTCATAAATAAATTGGTAATTTTTTTTATTAATTACTCAAATAGGATTTTCAATGCTTTAATCAGTCAATTGTCTAAAGAAACATTGTTAATTAACTGAAATTAAATTAAACAACAGTTAATTTTGGTTGATATATATTGATTTAGCCTGTTCCATTGAGAAATCTTGAATTATGACTTGCAAATTCAAGTGAGAAAAAAAAAGAAAAGAAATGACAGTGAAAGGAGGAGCTATCTCACAAAAAAAATGAAGAGATATGAAAAAATTTCAAAATTGCTTTATTAACTCATATCTCACCTATTTAGAAGAACTTGATAATAATTTCACTCTTTTCATTTCTCATTTTTTCTCTCCTCTATCGTATAAAAAAAAATTATCATTATTTCTATTTTTTTCTCTCCAATTTATCCAAATTTATTATTATTATTATTTTTTTTCATAACTAATATTTTCATTTCTTTTTGTTTTCTCTCCTAAGCAGACAAAGCCTAAACTTTCAAGTAAAATCGTCGCAGGCAGCCCAACACCTAAAACACACATGACCAATGGCGATTCGGACTCTAACCAGACCCACTTTCCACCGCTTCATCACATCAACCTCCAATCCGATCCCCATTTCCTCAGGCCCCAGAATCCGATCTTTTTCGTCGAACTCTAGCTCACCAGTTACTATTTCCCCAGATTTCTCACAACAATCTGAATACAGGAAACTGATTTCCCTCGCGAATATCTTCCAAAGGTACGGTTTCCCGCCATCGCAACTCCATGATTTTCTCACGAAGAATCGATTTTTTCTGAGATTCAATCCGTCAGAGATTCAAAACTCTCTTAAAATTCTACTGTCCTTGAAATTGTCCCAGGAATTTCTTGTTTCAATGGTGATCAATTGTCCACGGGTGCTAGAACTTGAATTTATCAAGAAATGGGAAGTGGGTGTTTCAGAAATGGGGGTTTCTATTGTTACTTCACTGATGATCCGGAATGTTCTTGAAGTTTCTAGAAAGTTTGATTTAGGCCCAGATGATCTTTTTAGGTGTGTACAGCGTTTGAAAGGTGTAGGGTTTAGTGATGGTACAGTGATTAGGATATTAGAGGAGTTTCCAATGGTAATTATGATGGGTGAAAATCAAGTTTGTGATAAAATTGAGTTTTTAGTGGGATTTGGTATGAATAAGAGCCAAATTGATCGAACATTCAACTCGTTTCCAGGTATTCTGAGATTTGGGGTGGAAAATAAGCTGAAGGCCTTGTTTGGTGAATTTAAGGATTTGGGTTTTAGCAATGATGTGGTTAGGAAAGAGATTATTAGAGACCCAAGAGTTCTAGGATTGGAATTAGGGGAGTTTTCTCGATGTCTGCAAATGCTGAGGACTTTGAAATGCCGGGTACCCATTAAAGAGAGAATTTTCAGCGAGGGAGCTTTTAGGGCTGGATTTGAAGTTAAATTGCGTATTGATTGCTTATGCCGTCACGGGTTGATATATAGAGATGCATTTAAGGTGTTGTGGAAAGAGCCGAGGGCAATTTTATATAAGATAGAAGATATTGATCAGAAGATTGAGTTTCTGGTAAATAGGATGAAATTTAATGTCCTTTGGCTGGTTGACATTCCGGAGTATCTAGGGGTAAATTTTGAGAAACAGATTGTTCCTCGATATAATGTGATTGAGTATTTGAGTTCAAAAGGCGGGCTTGGTGATGAGGTGGGATTGAAGACTTTAATTAAGTCTAGTAGGTTGAGGTTTTACAATCTTTATGTTAAGCCATATCCGGAGTGTGAAAAAATGTTTGGGAGGTTTGCAGGAGATGTTGAAGTTAGAAACCAGCATCCAGTTGGACTGTGGAAGCTTTTCAAACCGAAAAAATATCCAGAGTCCAAAGAAGATGTGAAGAACATTAAGTATTTCATGGAACCATTTGTTTAGTGGTGACTTTACAATGATATCTTCAGTGTTTATGGAGCAATTGCTTGAGGAATATTCTCATAGCATGCAAGTTACAGTATTTTTCGTCCCAAGTTTACATGTTGTATTGCTCTTACAAGCTTTACATGTTTTGATCAACGGGTAGCTCATCCCTTTTGAGGTATGCAGCCTTCTCACGTGTTAATATTTTTGTTGAAAGAATGAATTGAGACATCATTTTCAAATTTGTCATGAGTTGGTTTAGGTTCTCTAATAGATTAAAGGCCTCTTTGGCAATTTGGGAAATTCAATCAGTATGATTAAGAATAAGTCCAGCTAGTTTGCTCACTGAGTACAAATATTATTCTGAACTGGTTTAGAGTACTTTAGACTGGAAATATTTTGTGTCAATTGAATCATTAACTGATTCAAATATATTAGCTTTTGTTGATGATATAAGTTCTCAACTTTCACTCTCTGATCTCTCCCGGGAAAAAAAATTCATTTTTATTTTGGGCAAATTACAATAGCACCCACGAGATTTTCATCTCGTGCGCCTAGCCTAGATAGAAGTATGCGCAGATTAACAAAAAAGTCCAAATTGACTAGTTGACCTTTGGAGATGAAGGTAAATTTACCTATATGACCTTAATGCACATAACCATTGTTTAAAAGAAAATTCTGGAAGGGAGTGGGTGAGTGTAACTTACTGTTTTACCCCTCCTCTTATATTCGCCTCATTTTTTATGGTTTATTTGTCATTTCAGGTTTCAATAAATCGTGTTTACATAGATCATGTTTATTTGTTTTTTGTCACATTTCGATTGATCATTTTAGGGTTTACATCTAATATTTGAAGGGATTTATATCTTGAATGTTTTGTTTACTGTTTATAAATCACTATTTTAGGTTTTTTTTCTTTTTGTACCAATTGTCATCATACTTGTAGTTTGTGTTTTTTAAAATTTTTTTTAATCACTGTTTTATGGAGATAATATTGGTTTTTTTTTTTTTTTTTTTTTTTTTTTTATAAAAAAAAAATTGTGTTTTTTCTATTTGTCATGATTGTAAATATATAATTTTTGTTTTTTGTTCAGATCCGAGTTGGGTTACTTTATATATTTTTTAATTACAATTGAAATGTAATATCTGATGTTAAATTTGTGTTTTAACATGCTATATAGGGTTTTGCTAATGCAAATTTTTTTTAATAATGCTCGTGAAAAATTCAATATAAAAGGGTACTTTGAAAAAGAAATAATAACATAGTGAGAGAGCCCTAACTGCTACTAAAAGAAATAATAATTAACTTTGAAAAATGAGTCACGTAATCCATTGTGATCCATTAGCAGAAGGGCACTTTTGTCCTTTTGGAATGATGTAATTTCAATTCAATTAATGGACAATTTGGTCTTCTCACAATAGCAAGGTAATTTTTGTCCAAAAATATAGTTACCATACACTGATTTGATGCATCACTCAAGAATGGTGGTGATGTGTTAGGTCAATGAAACCACAAGGGTGGTTGACCAATGTATGGTGCATACTTTTCTATCTAGGTGCACGAGATGAAAATCTCGTGGGTGCTATCTGTAATTTGCCCTTTTATTTTTTATTAGTGCACAATTAAGCTCTTGGACCTATTGTTAAAAGAAATACTGCTAACTGCTCCCCAACACAATGCCTTCAGTCGGATATAATAGCTCTTTGCCATCCAAGAATTTACTAATTTTAGATAAACTTGTTTATTTCTGATGGTTTTCTCACCAACACCGAACGTGACTATTACGAATTTCTTTTTTTTTTTTTTCGTAATTATTAAGAATTTCTTTGATATATTCACGACCATCTAGTGCTGAGTCTTGATGTGGTGTTTTGGATTTTAAGTTTATAATGATAACTTGATGATGCTAATGTTGCATTTGTGGCCATTATTCCAATCATGCATTCATTATGAATCATATATTAAAGATGTAGCACTTCTTGATTAGGGTTGATCACATAATTTTATTATGGTAATATATAATATATACCAAACAACAATTAATAATATAAGAAATAATTAAAGCAATAACAATTCTAATTGACAAAAAGGTATAGTTATATAAGAAATAACACTATAAATTTGTTCAAAATATCAATCTATTAACTTCATAGTCAGACTTGAGAACTAGAAGATATCATTGTCATAATACATAAACAAACTTGGCTTAACTCAAAGCCTTATCCTATTTTTTTATTTTTATTTTTTACATACCATGGATATTAAATTTTCACTCCAGTATTGCTAAGGCAAACCACATGTTATTAGAGTATAGTTAGATTGCTTTTAGTAGTGATGAAACTGAGGCATGGTCCTTGATGTAAGCTGGCTTCACTTCCGTCAGTAGATATGAGAGTATCACTCCCCTTCCTCCTCCTCCTCTTTCCTTTTCACTATGCACTTTGTTATCAAACTAGAGAACTGGTTTTGGAATTCAGATCCCGTTTGGGCAATAACCTGGTAAAGCATGTAACCCTAAAATCTACTTATTGTTGGAGTTCCCTTTTCTTTTCTTTTTTGGGTAAGTTGTTGGAATTTGCTTGGCAGTCTGCAGTTTTGTTCAGCTTCTCTTTGAATGTCCATAATACATCTGGACAAGAAAAAAGTATGTACATGAAGCAGGGAACAAGTTAAAAGTTCTGGTACTAGTATATTCCAGAAACTGGGATCTTGATGGCCCCTTGGTAGTCATGTCTTTGATCACTCAATATTTTCTGAAGCACTGATTCAATGCTAAAGAGAGCTGCTTGAATTTGAATTGGGTTTTATGCATGCCTTAGTCATTTTAACAGAATGCATATGTGGCATGAGACCATGTAGTAATGTTGGTTTCACTTGTTTTTATTGCAACTTTATCAGGACTATCTTTTCGTTTGTTTTTTCTTTTTGGGGTAGGCAACATTGTTAGAACTTCAATGCTTTGCCATTAGAAAATGTTACCTGCCCTAAATTTTTGCAGGTGCTGCCATATCTTTTTGTGATTTTTCATGGGTATACTAAATATGACGTAATTGGAGGATTCATGTGTTGTTCTTCTGGTTGGTGATGGAAGATATGGTTTGAGATAGAGAGTAGCAGTAAGGACCTTGTTATTGTGGTTGCAGCTGCATGCATTCTCCTGGAGGATTTAAATATTTACTGTGAATGGCGTGTTCTTCCCCAACTCTCAGAAATGCATCCGTTGGACTTGTGGTTAGAAACACCAGCAGCAATTCAGGGGCCAGTAGTACTTAAATTAGGAAGGCATGGATTAGTGGAGAAGAGTGGGGTAATGGCAACAATAGAAGTCTGCAATATTGATCGATGTTCCCCTCAACATCCCCAAACTCGTCCTAGAGGAGGATTGCAGCAGAGCTCATCAAGACTGGCCAGTGTCATTACCTTGGAACATTGCTTCTATCCTAGTTATTGTTTTCTCCACGATGGCGAGACACTGTCAGATTCAAGTTGAAGATGATTCTGTGGCACTGCTAATTTGGTGGCTTCCTCTTGTCGTGTGGTAACCTTTATAACCATTTTGCATCATACATTCCTCACAGCTTGAGAATATATTTTTTTTTCGGAGATGTTCCTTTGAGTCTTTCCAAGCATTGTCTTTGTACTTCCATCTTCGTGGAGGGAGAAAACTCAGAATTGCTCTCCAAATGTCGAAGAACTTAGGATACTTGAATACAATAAGAATAATTTGATATTTTAAAATATGTTAAGTAGCCACATAAAATCTCATTAAAGAATGTACAAAACAGGAAATTCAAACTTTATAAAGATGACTACCGGATAGAAAAATGAACAGACCAAACCTCAACTGGTATTCACTTTCGGCAACTAGAACACTTGTGGCTTCAAATAGGAGAAGAAATCTTAGGGTCATCACTGTAGAGCTCTGGCTATTACTACACTTTTATTCTGACCTTCCTAAAGCCTTATCCCAAGTTCTCGATGACATAGGTTTGATATTTATCCAGGAATTTCTATACGAATTCTTGGGTACCAGCCATTTTCTGCACTTATTCACCGTTAAATTTATCAGAACTTAAGGATTTTGGCGGATGGGAAGTTCAAACTCAGTGCTGCATTTTCTGTGTATATTCGTCTAATATTTCGGCGAAGTACTTCCCTTTTGTAGGGTCAGAAAAGTGCCCGTTTGGTTTAGTTTTGTGAAAAAAATTTCTGCTCCAAGAGAATAGAAAAGATTGACAGATTGCGCGAAACTATACCTCCTTGGGAAAATGAAAATTCATAAAATCCTTAAGTTGAAATTCAAAAAATCATTAAGTTGTCATTTTCTCGTGTTAAAAATCTCAATAATTTTATATTTTTACATGAAATGACAAAAATACCAAAGAATCAATTGTCTACCAATTTTATATTATTAAATTTTACAAAAATAATTTTTTCGCTAATGACATTTGATTAGATGTCTTTTTACCGGGTTTTTTTTTTTTTTTTGTTGTTTTTGAAAAAAAAAAAAGGGGGGGTGGGGTGTTTGACAAATTTTTTTTATTAAACTATTATTAAAATGGATAAGGGTATGAAAGAAATTTCACATTTTTAGAGAAGATCAAAATAATAATGGCTAAACGATCTATTTGTGTACAATTTTTAGGGCAAATTACATAGACACCCCCGAGGTTAGGCCATTTTGCAGCTAGACGAAAATTTTGGTTTTAATTTTTACTTACACCTCAATTAACTTTTGGCCTCAAACACATGCGAATTGACCATTTTACTTTTAAATTTTTAATACAAAATATCTTTAATCTTAAATGACATAAAGGCCCCTCTATAATTTTGAGTTTCATCTCTTTCATCTGTATTTTATGATTCTTTAAACTCACACACACACACACACACACACACACACATATATATATATGTATAAAAATATATTGCTTTGAAAGAAGATATCAGCTTCGCAAACCCTAGGCGGCACGTCTCGTTGTGGCCGGTTACTGGGGCCATCGCTCGACAAGATCGTTGAGAACATAACCTAGATAAATCACTCCACCTCGTCACTGCCGGCAAATCCGCGCTCGACAAGTTTGAAATGGTCTCTGACTCCTCCGATCCAACCTACTATTCTTCTCTATGCGGTCTCTCTTCCTTCGACACCGATTTCGTCATCCAACCCTTGATTCTCGCCCTCCATTCCACTGCTGTTAGTTGCCAGAGCCTAATCTACAGCTTAACGACGGCGAGGATACGACCACCACAATCCTCATCCCACCCTTTCAATCCCAGACCAGATACCCATTCCTCCATGGGTCTCTCTCACCCACCCCTTCAACCACTATCATAATCTTTATCCCACAACCACCAACACACCCATGCCATCGCCACCACAGTTGGAGACGTCGCTGTGACAACAACCACCGCGCCCCAAATCTAAACCCCAAATTGAAAGCCAAGAAGGCACAACAAAACTTCCACATTCAACATACCTTGGGCTGCGTCTCTCTCCTCTATCACCAACTTCTTTCCCCACCGATCCCCTCTCTCCTCCACCACCAACTTCTTCCCCTATCGATCCCCTCCCTCCTCTAACTTATTTCCTCTCAATTCTCCGTCAAAATGAAAAAATTAGGTGAGGGGGTGTTTGACTAACGGCTTGCCGTTTATGTAATCGCCGTCGTACATCGCAATCGTCAATCGTCGTTCCGAGCTCGCCCAACCACCGCTACCGCCACCTCCACCTCCAATCCACAATGTAATACCCTTAATTTAAAAATGGTAGTCCTGATATTTTAATTAATTATTTAATTGCATTTTTAAGATTTCTATTATTTTATTTGTTTGTTACTTGAATTAATTAGGGTTTTAATTATATTTGTTTGTTAATTATTTGTTTTATTGTTAATTATTTGTTTCAAATTGAATTAAGTTAGGAGAATTAATTAATTAATTAAAGTTGGAGTTTCTTTCTGTTTGTAATTAAATCGTGTCTAGGATTTGAGCCGACACATATAGTTGGTTTAGGATTTAATTTAGGGTTTCCAATAAAGCCTATAAATACCTAAGTATACGTCTGCCAAGGGTTTGTTAACCCTATTCACGTAACAGAGAGAAAACACAGTGAGCAACAGAGAAAGAATTGGAGAGAAATAGATAGTGAACCTTGAGAGGTTTACAGAGAGGTTCAAAGAGGTAGGGGTGGAGTGCTTCTGGGTTGAACCAAGAGCACTGGAGGTGTTTAACGGCAGCTTAGGACTTTGACGAAAACTCAGAGACGAAGGTTTAAGATTTATGGACTGAAATCTAAGGCAAGTCTTTGTTCTATTCTTTCCCTTTAATCTGTGTTCTATGCATGCCTAGCTAGATTACAGGGGTTTAACTAATGATAAAACGAAGTAATCATGCATGCTTAGCGGACTAAAACTGAGAGTTTTATGGTTATATATACTTGTGCATGATTTCATTATTTTCTTAGATCTTTATGTATGATTTGTGATTTAACTTGAATCTTTGCCTACTAAAACACTTAAAATAATTTAGTGTGGACGTATGGGACTTAGGTTGAAGCTTAGGGGCCTTAACAATGAAGTTTAAGGGTTTACAGAGGCTGAACGGACGAAAAAGAAGACCTCAGCACTAATTGAGGCGCCTAAGTTAGCAACTGAGGCGCCTAAGTTAGCAATTCAGCTCCCTAAGTTAGCAGCTGAGGTTGCTCAGTTGTAACTTAGCTTGCTCAGTTGGGATTTTTGGTTTTAAACTCCCAGTTTGGGTTTTTGTGCACTGTTTGGACTACACAGAGTGTTAGCACTTCATTTAAATTGTCTTAAATGATGTATATTACTGTTTTAGACCTGTAAGAATATAGGTAAACAATGATTCATAAATGGATTAAGGTATGGACAGTGTACAGTTAGGGGAAGATCCTACATGTTGAACTTTGAATGTTAATTAGATTACACTTTGGAACTTGGACGATTGTTTATATGTGATTTAATTTTAATTAATCATATTTGGATATAATTGTAAGTAACATGGATTACTTGAACTTAACCATGCTTGTGTTGGATCAAATTAATATTCACTTTGCTATTCAACTGCATCAGTATATGGATATTTTGGAAGATGTGAACGCTTATACTTGTTTTAGCTGTATACATTATTGGAATTGGATTTTAGGCTCTATAATGACTGTCTAATATTGTTGGATATGTGTTAATTTATTTTGGGGCATATTTTGGAATATGATTGATGAGTTATTAATATTGCTTTGCCAATTATACGGACTTGTGGATTGTATGCACCGGTATAGGACGGTGACATACTAGGGATGGTTTAGCTCAAAACGCTTAAACCTAACCTACCGGATTAAAGGAATGGATTGAAAAATATTGAATCTTAACTGTGACTAAGTCAAATCAACTGTGACTAAGTTGAATGACTTTCTGGATTAATTGGTTGTAGTTAAGTCATATCAATTGAATAAGTTGAGTGACTAACTAGTTTGTATATTGTATGTCAGCTCAGTAAATTGTGGAATGACATACTCCGGATGGACGGATTTTAGATATATGGTTATGATACCACGACATGAGCTTAAGTCTCAGACTCGTTGGTTAGGGTGCGTGTATGCAGTGGATGCGTAGCTGGTTATAGTAGGTTGAGGTGTACCCTGTTAGGTCTAGGCACTCATGCCCACCCTTCGGTGCGTTTTCGCATGTTGCCTTCTATTCAGGTTAAGGCCCCTACTGTAGTCCAGTGAATGTCCCTTACTGTGAATATATATATATGGATTACTCTAGATATTGTTGAGCTATCTAGGATATATCTGCGTATCGGATTACTATTTAGATCGTAGTAGAATAGGACTTGCATGTGAGCTTGACCCACTCTTTTATTTTCCAAGTGTTTGTCAGTTCTAGGGTTAGAGCTTGGACGTGCAGAGCAGATACAAACACTCATTCCTTCGACTACGTAGAACTACTCTATATGTTTAACTTTAGTTTTTATTTCAGTTGTTTCAGTTTCAGTTTGAGATTTTATTAGGGGTCCACAGGATGGATTCCCGAGTTGTATGAATTGGAGGTTTTGGGAAGTTTGGTTTTAATGATTAATGATTGAGGTTGTTTTTATTTAGTATTCGTTCAACGTTATTATTTATTTCTTTAATTCATTATTTTTGTATTCCGTGTTCGTTTTAACATATTAATTGTTTGATATCCCTCGGGTTTGGGCCTGGGCCTGATCAACCCGTGTCTTGGATCCGAGGGGTATCTCAAACAACCCAAAACCTATCATCGATTTAGCCGATCCTTGTTTTGCATGTGTGTGTGTGTCTATATATATGTGTGTGTGTGTGTGTGTGTGTGTGTGTGTGTGATATATATTTTGTAATTGGCTAATTTCGTTATCAAAACAAGTCCGATCAAATTGTAATTTTTCGGTTCAAAATTTTGAAGATTGAAGAACGGATGTGGATTTGAAGAAGTTCAAGTGTTCATGATATACTACACTCCGAGATGATAAGAACACTGATTTAAGAAGTTTTGAGATTTAGTGAAAACATTTAGAAAGGGGATTGAAAGCTTTTAAAGAAGAATTTACATTCTGTCCAACT